ATACCAGCCAGGGCTTATAATCGCTTGCATTTTCATCATAACAACCAGAACATGTCTATTCTCAACTTCTACAGTATCGTCGTCGATTGAATTACAGGGATGGATCACGTGTTGGTGGATAGTTTGCTGAGTCCTTGCTGGACAGGTTCGAATGGTTTGACGGCTACAACGCCGGCTTGGGTGTGGTGGCAATAGACCGGAATAAAATGACTCGCTATCCGAAGGCATACACTGGACGATGGGAAGCTTTCATGAGAGCACATCATGTGAACAGACAACACGAGCAATGTGAACGACGGTCGCTTGTGTTCTTGGCTTTTCTCCGAACGACTGCGCAGTTTTGTGCAACCCGGTTTTGACTTCAGAACCCAGATAATAAGTAACCAAGTAAATAACCTAGGCCCGTATCGCCGGAACGAATAGGACAAGTTCATGGTAAAGGGTCAGTAACAAACTCTTTGTACGAGTGGAATTGGAGTTGTTGATGAGAGGTGCATGTCGGAGTACTGGAGTGTCTGAACTCAACATGCCACTTTTGTTTATGAGCATTTCTTACGAACAGAACAGGACGCCAGAAACGCCGTGGCGGCATGAGTTCATGCGAAAATCAGTGCTCTGCATCTGAAACGTTGAGTCTTTGACGAATTATTTGGTCAAAGAAGAAATAATTCGTCATAGACTTGTACATTTTCATGTGTCACATAAGTTGATTCTCAAGTGTATGATATAATTCTCTAATTTTATTTCTCTATAATTTTCTGAACAATTTTAGTTCAGTGAATTGAAATCATGCGATAAAATTATGTTCCATATTTACATCATTTATGTGTTCCTTATGAACAAATAATAACTGTTATCCACATTACCGATTGTGAATCAAATAAACTTACGTACAAAATAATTCCATGTTTGGTGAATCAACGTTGTCTTATAGATCAGAAAACTGATTATTTGATTTCCTAGAGCCAATCAGGATTTTTGAAAAAGGTGAACATTATTCAACAAATTAAATAATTAGAGTAGAAACTCTATTTTTCATCTAAACATAATAATGATGTTTCAAAATTTTGACTTAAGAAATAAACTTTGGATGATCAACATGCAATTGAATCGCTGAACTTTAAATCAACATGCAATTACAGTGTTGCATTATTTGACTGAAATACCAAATTATTTTTATACGTATAATTAAGATTAATTATACTTGATATACTTTACATATTAGTACGTGTTATATAATTACAATGGCATTAACTGAAATTATATATTTGAATCGAGTTGACAGACAATAAAAAATCAAATATTTTGAAGCTTAATATCAAAGTAATAAAGAAAGAGAAAAAATGATCAATATATGATGATTTCATCAAAACATCATGACCAATTTTAGTATTCAAATATTTAAGGTTTATTATAAAAATTTTAAATTTTTTAAAGAAATGATACCATCTTAAATTATATCCAATCTCCAATATGCTAAAATTGATAAACTGAAGCATCAAAGATAATCTGTATTTAAGGTTATTGGCTTATTTGAATTTTTCTATAAATTTTTTTGATTATGTCACTCATTTAAATAATGCTTTTATATTTTTAAGATTTATATTTTATGTTAACGATTTATTTCTGAATTTTATTTTAGTTTTGAATAATATTTAAGATTTAAAAATTTGAATATATTTTCAAAATTATTTTTTTATACTAATCTAGCAAGATAAATTCATAATTTATGAGTGATATAAAAGTAAGATTCTTTTTGAAAATTTAATTTTTAAATATACCAATGACTATAATTCTCATATGGAGATTACTAAATTTTAAGTATATAAAGCAAAACTTGAAAAAATATAGTTTTATCTCTAAAATTAATTTTGATATCATGCACCGTTAAAAAGTTTCTCAACAAACGTTTGAAGCCTATGTGAAACATTGAAAAAAATTTAATTATAGAACAGATTCCAGTTTTCAATTTTTAACTTGCAGAATGAGAGTATAATTCCTTGATTTACATCTGGTAAAGTAACTCATTGAGAAAATTTTCAACCATGGAAATGTTTTAAAATATGGATAGAATTTCAATTTTTGTTGGCTATAATTTGCAACATTCAATGAATTCACTAAGGGCCAGACTAGGGCCACACCCGCTACATACAAACAACTGATTGTGCGTCAAAGCACGCCTCCCCTCAAACCCAGCTGCTAACCCGAGCTCGTCCGCGAGGCAAAGGAGAGCATAGTCGAGAGACTTCGAGGGGCGCGGGGCCGCTGCGGCCGTCGCTGTCTCAGGAGTAGCCTGAGTAGGCCATCGCTGTCTCAGGGCCTCTGCGGCCGTCGCATACCCAAGGCATGGGCATGGTAATTAGCGGGCGGGTGTGGCCGTAGCAAAAACGGGTGTGGCCCTAGTCTCATACATACACTAAACTTGAATCTATTTATGAAAGGGTTATTTGACTATTTATATCAAGATAATATATAATAATATCAACTCACAGTATTGTATTGATTATTTTATTATATATATTGAACGGGGCATTTTATGAATCTAGAAGCAATATCATATTATAGATGTATATTTTAAACAAAAAAAAAACACTATTATGCAAGGGTGCGATTCATGCACAACATGAGAATTTAGAACCACTTACTCTTTTCCCATCTCTACCTGGCTTACGCTTTTGCACTACTCAGCTAAAGTAAAGCAGATAATTCCACGTTTACGAACTTAAATTAGTTCATAACTGTTATACGGTTCCCTAAATTATGCCTTAGTGAATAATACTAGATCGATTTTTTGTGAGAGTCATAGTGCTGATATTAGGTCTTAGATGTAAGAGCATTTATAATAACTGGACCACTTCGCTAGTAAAGCTTTGAATTATCAGCATTCAAACCTATTTTGATACACAGTAATCACAATTCATTTTCTTTATTTTTTTTTGTATACTTGTGCATTCTTAGACGTCATACTACGCTTGTTTCTTAATTTTCCGTTTGCAAAGACTTTAGTTTATTTCTAATTCGAACTAATTTACATCCTTGGTCCTTTACAAAAACGTGGTACATGTAGCGATGTGGAATGAGAATTTTTTGTTCCTTTGACTGCAGCCATGGATTCCTTTTAGTCTTTAGACATTGCACTGTTTGTTCATGTAATTTGACATGGCACATAGAGAAGGGTGAGGATAAGATTCATCATTCTATTTGTGATTCAGTTAGATGTGTATACTAAGATAATAAATCATGTGAATAAACAGAATAAAGACCTTTTCGATAATCTGACTCTTCAGAGAAGCAATTATGAAATAAATAAATTCGAGGACTATAAGTTCATACAGCTAGTCAGAGCAATCACACAGAAAATCATTTTAACTTTGTTCTTCCCCATGTACACAACCAAAGTATGACTTGAGCTATTCCAAGCAAGAGCTTGTGCACATGAAACGTGGACATGAGGCACCCTAGTTAGAGGACTTGAACAAACTTTTTAGTGACATAACAGAAAGACTTCCTCTATCCCTTGCTCTGATCTCGTATTCGATTTGTGGTACAAAAGTAACCCTTCAACCTCACTGAAATTTTGTTGTAATGCTTTGGTTGTTGATGCGTGCTCGGATGATGTTTATAGCATTGTGATGTGAATCTGTAACATCTTTTGCAACAATATTGTTTTCGTTGAATGACTGCGTTAACATGATGAAAGAGTGTTATATATATATGTCAATTCTTTAAGAGAGCAATAGTCTATGTTGGCAATTTGATAGATAAGTAAATATTCTGTAAATGTGACAGAAGTACATGCTGGATATTTCAATATTTCTTATTTCAAAGAATATATATTTTCTCGGGATTATTGAATTTTTTTTAAGTTTCATGTTTCCAGTACATTGTTATCGCTTCGATTCCGATTCAAATTAAACTCATGAATATTTCCCCAGTTTTACCATCGGGATTTTGGTTGTGCTGATCGAAATGACCTCAATGACAAGATTAGACGAGGCGCAATGTGCTTACCCGAACATTAGACGCGGATGTACAACGAAAACCCGGAAAGAGAAAAGACAAGTGCCACGTGGGCCCCATCGCAGGAAGATAATCTTCCAATCGATAAATCGCATCACTCTTATTTGCCACGTGGAATCGAGGACATGATCCAAACCGGCTTATCATCGAACGTTCTCCTTATCCTCTCCTCGCCTCGCCTCGCCTCGCAAAATCCCCGATATTTACTTCCGCTTTTCTATCCACAAACTTTCGACGTCCGGTCTGCCGCCGTAACTTCACATTCCCTCTCAGATGAACGTCATGACACTCTTTTCGTTCGAAAAGTTCTATGAAAGTACTGTAATCCTTCCATTCGTCCTCGAATTCTGAGCACCGTCGATGCTGCAGATGAATTAACACGAGAGCGTGGAAGCCAGTGTGCTAAAAGCCGAAGATCGATATAAATGGTCGAGATTCCTCGAGAAATTAGTAATCGTGAAGGAAAGATAGATGACAACAGCGAGAAAATATAATTAATGAGACGAAAATAATTATTAATGCTTGTTCGATCGTGGCTCCGGTGACATGTAGAAGAGAAAGACGAGCTCCGAGTTGTGCATGGGAATTGAGTACTGCTCGGCGGAAGGAACAGCACCTCGAGAAGAGATTCGTCATTGAATGTCGAATATTCATCTCCTATCCAAACGTTAGAACGCAGGTAACTCTCGCTTGCTCTCGTAGCCACAGAGAGCACATCCCGCATGCCCCAATATCGCGCGACCACGCCCAACATTGCCCCTCGCACTGCGCTTCGGCGCATGTCCGGGCCGGGGAGACGAGAAATCTTCAACGGCGCCTGCCCGACATTAGGCGAATCGCGGGCTCCGTCCACTCCGATCTCGGCTCGGACCTGAGATATTGAGCGGACCCCGCGGCCCGATATTGGGTCGGGGCTCGAGGGTGGGCAGCGGGGGCAGAGACCCCGGCAATATTGGGTGGTGCTCTGGGATCTGGGCCACAGAGAGCTGATCTTGAGACCCGGAATTGAGACGGGCACGGGAGCTGTGAGCCACAGAGAGGATATCCCCAGGGACATGGCCGCCGGATATTGGCCGACGAGGGGAAATCCGCTGTCTTTCGTCCGGTCGAGCACAAGAACAAGCTCTGGGCGTCGTCCGAAGCTGCAGCAGCTGAGCGGAGAATTGGAGCAGTGGCAGAGTGTGGCTGTGGGGAGGACATTGCGGCGAGAGTGTGATCGGTGAAGCGTTGAGGCCATGGCAGCTTCAACGATGGTCGGAGTGTCCGCAGCCGCGTCCGGTCTGCAGATTGCGTCGGGCTCGAAAATTGCCTCGTTCGATGGCCTCTCGAGCCGGTCTCTGGCCCTGCGCCGGACCGAGGTCTGCGATCTCAGCAGCGAGCTCGAGAGCAAGGTGGGCAAGAGCCGCTCCGTCACCGTGTGCAGCTTGAAGGATCTTCGTGACCGCATCGACACCGTGAAGAACACTCAGAAGATCACTGATGCCATGAAGCTCGTGGCCGCTGCCAAGGTGAGGAGAGCGCAGGAGGCTGTGGTGAATGGCCGCCCTTTTTCGGAGAACCTCGTCAGGGTTCTGTTCAATGTGAACTCGCAGCTGCAGACCGAGGACATCGACATTCCCCTGACCCAGATCAGGCCCGTCAAGAAGGTGGCTCTGGTCGTATGCACAGGTGATCGTGGTCTGTGCGGAGGATTCAACAACTACATCATCAAGAAGGCCGAGGCTAGGATGAAGGAATTGAGAGCCCTAGGTGTTGGGTACACCATTGTCAGCATTGGCAAGAAGGGCAACAGCTACTTCAAGAGAAGGCCCGAGATCCCCGTCGACAAGTTCATCGAAGCCGGAAACAGCCCCACCTCGAAGGAGGCCCAGGCCATCGCCGATGAGCTCTTCGCGCTCTTCGTCAGCGAGGAAGTAGACAAGGTAGAGTTGCTGTACACCAAGTTCGTGTCGCTCATCAAGTCCGACCCCGTCATCCACACCCTGTTGCCCCTCTCCCCACAAGGTGAGGTCTGTGATATCAATGGTACTTGCCTCGACGCCGCCGACGATGAGCTGTTCAGGCTGAGCACCAAGGACGGAAAGTTCTCTGTCGAGAGAGAGGTGGTCAGAACCGAGACCCCGGCTTTCAGCGGTGTCTTGCAGTTCGAGCAGGAACCTGTACAGATTCTCGACGCCCTGTTGCCCCTGTACTTGAACAGTCAATTGTTGAGGGCTCTGCAGGAATCTCTTGCCAGCGAGCTGGCTGCCCGTATGAACGCCATGAACAACGCCAGTGAAAATGCTGCGGATTTGAAGAAGAACTTGTCCATCGTCTACAACAGACAAAGACAAGCCAAGATCACTGGAGAGATTCTGGAGATCGTGGCTGGAGCCAATGCGTCTGGTTAAGTACATTTGTCGAAATTTCGCATCCATTTGTACAATAAAAAGTGTAATATGGCGGTGAGAGGAGTACGACCTACCGGTAGGCAGAGCTTGTGTAGAATGTTTCCACCCCTCCTGGTGTTAAGCTTTATTCGAGCATGTAATTTTTATGAAACAGGGCTTCTGATCCTAAGTCCCTCCGGATGTAGATCCATTATTTCATTTTTCTTGACTTTCCTGCCTGGTTTGGTTTAACTTAGCTCGTTACAACATGCCCAAATTTGAGCTCACTTCTTGTCAATGGATGGCCAGAGCACAATCTAATGTGCTATTGGCAACTTATATCATAATTTCTCGTCTTTTGGTCGGTATGACTGCAATTCAACCGTTAAGCCTCTTCATGGATGAGGTGATCGAGTCTGAGTAACCATTTTTTCTAGAGGTGAAAGATGCGTGCCTCTTAGTATGTGAATAAAGTTCGTTACAGGAACTTGTTATTCTGCTCTATCGATGTGATTGATTCATCTGCCCCTACATGTGGCATGTTACCTATACTGTTCCTCTGTGGATTGGCGAACCTTGTGCTTACAAGCTTTTTTCTATCCTGTCCTGAGAGTGATGTTTCGATGTGATAACAATGTAACCCTACCTACGCTATGTAGCACTTCATCACAAACAACGTTAATTCGAAAATGAACCTGATCACGACACTTACTAAAATCGTTTTGCTTGTTCAACTTGCTTATGGCGAACAGAAATTGCCACTGCCCGTCCTGATTTATCCTAACAATAGTTACGGCTCCGGAGAAATTTGAAGGAAACGAAACTGTAATATCCACATATGCCAGACTGTCTTCTGATTGTACGGAATATGTGGTTGTGCTTCTTCTGTTTTGTCCTACAATTTATAGACGGTGAGGAGGTGTTTCAACTTATACGGATGTAGAGTCAACTTAACATGAACAATACTGTGTGAAGATGAGTCTTAGCTGTAAAAAACTTGAATTCTCTAATCCCGGTCGAATCATAGATAACCTACCTCTATCCAAGCACTAAATATGAGTCACAAGACTATTTAAACTCAAACTTTGCACAATTTTTTCAGAAATGTCATTATCAATATGAGATCATTGCTGATCAGAGTTGATAATGCAGACGAAACCGCTCCCTGCAGAAACATGAAAGATTATTTACTCAATGAGGAGTGAACTTCGCTTTAACAATCAGCATGCATTAACCGGGTTATTGATTCCGTTCATGCACATAGTAGTTAATTCTGAAAGAATCATTCTATTTGACTCAAAACCGGCTAAATGTAAGTAACGGAGACATGAACGCGAGTGGAATTGATAAGGTAGAGATTATAACGAAGAGGGTTTCCTCTTCATGGAAACTTGATCATTCATCTATTTTGTGGTGAAATAAAGTTGCCCATTTTTTGCTTCCATTGTGTCCTTGGGTGTCTCCGTTGTCCCTACCTCCCGTCGTTTTGGCTACCGATCTAGGATAAATATGCATTGTCATAATGTTCACAATTGCCACTTATTTCATGCTATGCACTCCTTGTCATTTTCCTCCTATGTTGCCGTTGCTTCTCTTTGATGTCTATCTTACATGCTTGCACTAATTTTTATCGTTATTACTTCAGCTTCAGTCCGCCGGTCTTTTAATTCAAACTCATTTTTTTGGAAAATTGGTTAACATAATTTAGTATTTTATACTTTCTAAAAATAATAATTTCCTATCTATAATCGAGAAGATCGATTGAACAAATAAATGTTTTAGGTTGTAAAAGATTTTTTGGATTTAATTTAATGATTTTCACTTTGAAATCACAGCAAAAGAGAAACATTTAAAATTAGAAAATTGGAAATTTTCTTTATACACATTTTTATCCTCTAAATGTAAGCAAGCACTGATTTCTCTTAGGATATTTCTCCTATACTCTAATCTGAGCCACATACATTGGTATGAGATATATAAAATTTGAGCATTGTTTTTTTATTGACTCATTGAGCACCTTAAGTTGTTGTATATAGAATGATATGTAATCGCAGAGTGGCAACAATTGCAGCACAAAACATTGTTGCCACACCTGCTGTAATAGAAAGAAATTTCTTCAAAGATTATGAAATAACAGTTTTTCTTTGAACCGCGTATCTTTTGCATATTTAGACTTAATGCATTTTCTTAAATAATGTGAAAAACTTAGACACACTGAGAGTAGAATTTTCTCCAGTAATTTCGTTACCTATCTTTTTCTAATCCAACGAAATATAAATGAAGTTTTTTACGTATGATAGAATTTGAAATACTTAATCATAACAATGTGATTAGTTCTTCTTCATATTTAACGTTCATGAAAGAATTTCACCCGAATGTTCTATCCATCTATACAGCTGTATGTTGTGACAATTTTGAACTGAGATGTTTTGCAAAGTATATATGATATAGTTTTGGTCTTTACTTCATCCATTAGGTATACATCAAAGTAGATTTCCTTCTCCTCCACGTGTTCTCTTTTCATGTAACATCAAAATGTACTAAATGACTATGGTTTTTAATTACTTCAATAGCAATATACATTCAAGTAAATAATAATATCTACATTTTTATGAATACTATGTGAATTACTTGATATATACATATATGTATACAAAGTTAAATCTCCCAATATTATCACCTCTCATTAGTGAAGTAAAATATCAGAACCATTAAACATCCCAATAGTGTTATCTCTCATTAGTGACATAAAATATCAGAACCATTAAACCTCCCAATAGTGTTACATCTCATTAGTGACATAAAGTATCAGAACCATTAGTTTGTAACTTGTAAATCTGTTCGATAAGACGTATTGTTCAGTAATAACAGTATGTCATCATTGCCAATAGTGACAATTTAAAGTGTAATATGGAAGATAAAATTACTATCATGATCACAATACATAGATGTGAGAAATAAAAATGTAGCATACTTTTATTTATAGTTCTATCTCAACAATTCACTTTTTATGGGTTTCAGTAAAATACATTATTACATGTATACATATCAATTGTTTCACTCAGATTTTTGTGTATTAATCTGAGTTCAAAAGCAATTCTAGTGTCTACATAATTGCACATGAAGGCTGTTTGAAACCAAACAATATATTTATTAAATATACTAGGATGTAAATTATAAAAATTTATGTATTTTCTTTTTATAGGTGACACTAGCCTATCATGATATCCAACCCTAACATCCTTGTATATTACTACTATTGGGAGTTTACACTCAAAGGTTACACTTTGTCACTCAAAAATCTTGTGAGTGACATCTCCCAATAATTGCTTAAAATTCTATCATCAACGTGCGTCACTATTGGGAGATTTAACTCTGTATATCAATCATGCTGTGTGGGTGTATTGAACATAGAATTATCAAATACAATTTCCTAATAAAAATATATGGGAAGTCTTGACAAAAAGGCTTATAATTGTGATTTGATGTTGAGGAAAATTTCAAGGATTTCGTTTCCCGTGTACTTATTCTTTTATTTATAAAACAAAAACTATACATGAATCATGTCGAATATGACAAGTCCAGGTGAGTGCCAGTGTCACCAAAATATCCACTTTCGATGGATACTCTCTACCAGAACAACAAACTTGCCTACTCCAACAATCATCGTGTAGAACAGTGCAAAAATGGCCACTTTCCGACTTGCGGACAGAACGGCTGCAAAGATTACAAGAGTAGTGGGAGTAGAAAGAACAGAATTTGGTTCTCACTGGGTAGACGCCATATGCAAGATCAGGTCCACCACTCGGTTGCTGCATATACACAATTTCACATCCGCTGTTAGCTCTAAATCTCATGTTTCACTAAGAATGCTGCACACTCCGTACTTTGTACCAAACAACGATCATCACAACGAAAGAGTGAAACAGAGGAACGCACCTGTAGCCCCATTCGTTGTCGTACCAAGATACCAACTTCATGAAGTTGTCGTTCAGAGCAATTCCGGCCTTGGCGTCGAAGATGCTCGACCTGTTCAGTAGCCACACCAATCCGCAAGTCAGCACAAAAGCTATCACTATAAACGAACGAAAGAACGTGATACAATTCCTTCTGTAAGCAAAACCACTTTCAATTGCAGTAGTATCCTCTTCTCGTGGTGTAAACTGCGAGTTTCACATGAACAAAACAATCTCACAATGAGTTTACAGTTTCTCGGGATAAATTTCTTCTTTAGTATGATGCAAGACATGGTGCCGGCTATCGACTGGCTACATCGTGAACATACCTGCTATCACCGATGAAATCGGTGGACACAACATCGTCCTCGGTGTAGCCCATGATTCCCTTCATTTCGCCTTCAGATTCAGCTCTGCAAAATGTCACTCAATTTTCAGTTTCTGCACGTCGCATACCGATCAAAACAAGTGCTCATGTCAAGTGCACGTGCCCTGCAATGGTGAATCATTCACACTTTCTTACTTGATAGCGGCCTTGACTTCTTCGTACGTTGCCTTCTTCTCGGTTCGGACGGTGAGATCGACGACTGAAACGTCAGCGGTGGGTACTCTGAATGACATTCCAGTCAGCTTCCCGTTCAAAGCAGGCAACACCTTGCCTACGGCCTGTATTCCAGCACACAAGGGCATTAGAGGACTGCCACTACTCGCCTACAGATTCTATACACAAACAATTCGTCTTCAACTTCATCTCGCCACAATTCAGAGGATCTGGGCCTGTCGAGCACCTTTGCGGCTCCCGTGGAGCTGGGAATGATGTTGAAGCTAGCACCACGTCCACCTCTCCAGTCCTTCGCAGATGGCCCATCGACGGTCTTCTGAGTTGCTGCAGGGTTACAAAAGAGTGGGAGTTAGAAAATCCATTGCATCAAACAGAATAATTGAGAACTGCTTCAAAATTGAGAAATATTTACGAGGATGCACGATTTATCACCTGTAATTGAGTGCACCGTTGTCATGAGACCTTCGACGATTCCAAATTTATCGTGAATAACCTGCAGTTTCAAATTCACGTAATAAACTTACTGAGATCCGCAACGACATGACGAGGCACGAGAACTGCATGAAATGTTTTGCTTCACTTCGAAAAAATCAACCCCGCAGTACTGGGCGCATACAGTCTTTGATTCTTCGCCCCACTGTTCCGCCAGTGAACGAGGGCTGGAAACTTTCAAATACTGCTATGCAGACGGTGGACACGTTCTGCTCGAGCAACTTCGTACCTTGGCAAGAGGGGCCAGACAGTTGGTGGTGCAACTTGCGTTGGACACAATATCAATGTCAGTGGTATATTCCTTCTCGTTCACTCCCATGACGAACATTGGAGCATCTGCGCTCGGAGCCGAGATGACGACTTTCTTCGCTCCGCCCTGCAAGAAAAATCGTGTCGTAAGACGGACGCCAAGTCTCTGTCATCCGCTGACGTGGTTGCAATGCATGAAGTCGTACGCTCCATCACATCGACGCCACACACGACTTCTAAGTTCTTCTTCACGTGCACGCAGACCAAGTGCGGAAATTTCATCTCACCTTGAGATGGGCAGCGGCCTTGTCCTTGGTGGTGAACACACCGGTAGACTCGACGACGTACTCGGCTCCGGTTTGGCCCCAGGGGATTTCAGCTGGGTCGCTGCAGCAGAACAAAAATCCGATAGCGTCAAAACTACTGCCCACATGCAAGTCTACTGCACAAACGTATTTTTTTCATCTCCTACCATGGACTTGAAGATTTGGTTTCAAAACTGCAAGGACTGGAAGCACAGAGTGGTCAGAGGCAGACATGGGCTGTGATCGTGCGACTTACCGGCACTGGAAGATGGAGACAGGGAACTTTCCAAAAAGAAGAGTCTTGTCGTCCTTGGCTTCGATGGTGTTCTTGGTATACCGTCCGTGCACACTGTCGTATTTGAACATGTAGGCCTGCATGGATTCGTTTTACATGTTAGCAGTGATGACACATTAAGATGGTGAAGCAGGCTCAATAAACAATCCTCGACGAGCTGAGTCACTTCCGCGACGAAGATTTCGAGTTTCTTTTCTTCGCGAAACACCTGAGCAAAAAATCTGCCGTTCTGATTGTACGCACTCCATGGGGCCTTCTATGCTGTGTTCTGGTAGGTGACGAAATCGCCTCACGATGGAGTGACTGGCTAAAATGGGAGTGACCGACTTGAAAAGCTACGTACCATATATTCGGTGCTGATGAAAGGATCGTTCACGGCAACCAACTCGATGTCATCACGTTCCAAGGCGACACGCGCCACCAGTCGTCCGATCCTTCCAAAGCCTGTTCCGCGATGAAATTTAGCAAACGAATGATACAACCCGAAGAAAGTCTAGGGGAGACACGAGATTTCTTGCTGACACAGGACTTCGGGCTAACCCTCGTCACACCTCTGACTTGCACTAAGCTGACCGAAAGAAGAGTCACGCATTGCGATTACTATACTTCGAAGCCCGATAGTTTTCTACGATTACACCTGTGCAGCTGCTCTGTCTGTAGCATAAGATACTTCAAATTAATTGAATAACTCTGTCTTGCTATTTCACCTCGTGCCTGTACTACGTACCATTGATTCCGATCTTCACTTTTCCTGAGCTGATCGTCGATGGCTCAGTTGATCCTGCTGTAAAAGAAAGGAAAGAGCAGAGTTTCTCATCAGTTCTCAAGTTCAATTCGAGAGACTTGCAATGTATCCCGTCGCATGAGTAAGCTGAGTCCAACAGCTGCAAGGCCTGACTGGATATCCATGAAACCACGATTCAAATGAATTTTGGTGGATCGTAAGAAAAAAATCTGACACGGCAAATTCATCGCCACGTTCTCAAAATTGACACCGCATCGACACTCACCCATGGTTTCGAGACTGCGACTGCAAAACCGTCAAAAACAAAACTCTGGTCCGACCAGAAGAATGATGGGAAGGTGCTTGAGTATCCCGCTTGTACGTAAGGAAAGAAGATTGATCGAAGCTTCAGTGATCCGATCGATGAATAAATACGAGGTACGAGTCAATTCGCAGGAGCTGTAACACTCGAACGGGAGAGAAGAGCTGATGGACTGAGAGCAGAGAACGCCAATTGAAGTAGCAGCTGGAAGAGCAGGTGTGGAGGCAGATAATAGTGCCACGGCGGTTTCTTAGGTGGCGCCGGGTGGCTTGCGTGGCAGCCGCGTAGAGACTTGATGCGGACAGGCAGGCCGTCAATCTCGTGGCCCCGCAATTCTCCCTCGCCTTCAACACGTCGACTGCACCACAGCCCGTCAACTCATCCTTCCGTTCCGTCCAGTATTCAGCTTTGCCAAGGACTTACGAACAGAACGTACTGTGCTCACAGACGTCCGCCGAGCTCGGATGGATATATGCCATGCCATGCGGGCTTCATGCTCCCTCGAAGGATGCGTTTGCTGTGAAAATACTCTGAAAGTAAATATCATGTAATGTGTGCCCAATCCACAACCATCAGAGTGAACTATAGCACACCGAGTCCTTGTCAAAGTGGGAGAATGTGGACATTCTTTTAGTGTCTCATACTTGCCAAAGAAATGCACCGTTTCCTAGAAAGTACATGTCTCTTCTGACTTATTCTACAAAAATGTGAGCACCTTTGAAGAAGTCATTTTATCACCTAAATATATTTTCAATAGTTTATAAATATTCGTGGAGCTAGGATTTATTTTGAGACAGGGTTAAATCTTCAATTCAAGTTTTGTGTATCGATTCGTTTCTTTAAGAGATTTAGAAATAAGGGGCACCGAGTGATGGAAGATCCTATCAAAAGGGACATGTGTGACACCATGGGTATCATGGCGCTAGTTCATTAAAATCACAGTAGGAAATATGTCATATTGCTGGATACGGGTGATTTCTAGGTTATATCATCTATGAGTAATAAAAAAACTCTCAGCTTTCATTTATAGGAAAATCTACGGTGACAGTCTTCTTGACTTAAAGCATCAAGTGCACATTAGAAACGTACCCATAGACAACTGAAACATAGATACGAAAGCATGGTTCTTTCTGAATATATTATTTGCCTAGACTCATGGGCTTCGTGTAGGGCTGTTTCACACAGCACGTACAGACCGGCAGGGGTCACATTCTCAGAGAAGGACATGGAAGAATGTCCTGTTTTAGACATCGTGGTTTATCTAGGAGATACCCTCTATCACAACAGTCCAGAATTTCATCTCCCTCTCGAGCTTTGCCGGAAATTTACAGCCCATAATTTACTAAATCGGGGCCATATGCAGGAAATTTCGTAAATCACAACGAAGAAAATCTCGGATTCACTTCAAGTTCTGGATAGAATATGATTTACTATCAAGTTTTGGATAAGAGAAATAGGCAAATTATTTTGTTTTGTAGCTCGGGATGTAACGAGAGTGAACAAAGTGTTTTTAAGGACAGTGTACAGCCTATTTGTGTCTATCAATAGTTTGTATCCACTTGCTTTGACAAAGTGGAGATACCTGGGTCATGATTCTCTACTTACTCTCCCGTTTGCAGCAAACTTGAACTGTCATACAGCACAGAATTATGTCTTTTGGAGAACATAAGCACCAACTTCACTACCCGCATCTTTCGGACATTCCATCTCAAGGAAAAAAAGGCAGTCTCTCTAGAAATATTTTTTTCCTACACCATTGTTGGATTTAATATATGACAGAACTCAGCCTGGTTGGAGCACTCGCATCCGATCTTAAAAGTACATGAAAGGCAACTAAGAAGCACACATAAATGTTAAACTACATCAGCTTAGATTTTTCGATTGGAGTAGAATAAAAACATTTACTCCACAAAAACACATATTTTCTAGAGCTAGGGATCAAACTAATGCAACTAACTCAATCTACACCAGAGAAAGTGATTCAAGTTATAATTAGGGCCACCCCAAAAAAACTTCATAGGAACGGCCGAAGGAGCCGACCGAGACAAGGTGCTACTATCGTCCTGGAGCAAAGAGCCCGAAGACAGCCTTTCGGAGCCGCACGATAAAAACTTTTTGGATCGATGATCTTAAACGTAAACCGTTCCTAGTTCAAATGATTTACATCTATGTGATATAAGCTGTCTATATTACATATAGACAGTTATATGTAATATAATTTATTAAATATTGTGATGATATGTAATTCTAACCCGTATTATTCAATTGTTTAACCATGATTTATACACATCTATATCACTAGGTGGTCAGTAACATTATTGAGATGATGTTCGGTTAATACTACGCAACGGGGTAATTGTTACTTCCAGCCTGATCTCAAACCATCCCATATGCTGTACAATTTACAATGAGGCAAGTAAAGTACCGACGGCCACAGCGACCGTTTTTACTATATATTACTAGCTCTAAGGACACCGAGCTGCTGGTGGAAACAAGGTACACAAGTCGCCGTGCCCAAAATAAGCTGTTGAACATGTCCAAGTCAAAGACATGCAGTCATCCTAACCTTCATGGAAGAGACGTCATTCGAGAGGGCAATTTCTTACGTCGTCCAACTTCAGAAAGAAGTTTGACAGGGAGATGATTGCAGATGCGAAGGAATTCTCACCAAGGACAGGGAGTCGAGGTTGGGTCCCGACGCTCACAAAATTTGATTCCGTACGCACCTGAAACGATTCCATGTGGATGCTTCAGAAGTAGAGGGAGCATGCAAGAAAGAGAGGTGAAAGAGCAAATTGCAGGGAAAGACGTGTCTCGGGGCAATAGAGCATGAAGTCATTGGAAGCCGTGACTTGTGACGAACGAAGAGATCTGGCCAGTGTGAGTCAGCTGTGGAAAGTGGCATTTTTTTGAGAAGATTCACGAATGAGAACCCGCGAAGCAGCAGAGGAATTGGAGTTCGACTTGTCGACTCGGCGTGTGCGCGCATTGGTCGTACTATGAAGTGATGATGACCTTCTCTAGAAAGATCCCGATGCGGTCAATGTGGGTGCGTTATGCACAGAGTACGCAGCGCGAGACGAAGGGTCCTCAGTCTGTAGAGTCTTCTCCAGCCCGCCATTCTTCCGGAGAAATCAGTTGTGGCGAAACAGAAAGCACAGAGGAAAGTCAGCACATTATATTATATGATGCCGATTACATGTCATCCTAGTGCTTACAATAATGAGCTGACTTGCTATCGTTGTTTACCACCTAGCTCACAACAAAACCCCATACGAAACAACGAGCAACTTTCCACATGTATAATTCAGTCTGGTGATGAAAATGAAAATCACTGTGTGCCTTCCGTGTCTGACTCCTGTCTAAATACAAGCAAACTCGATCGAAAGAAGGAACGTGAAGCCAGCTTGTCGGTACTCTTCCAATCACATGTGGAATAATTAGGCCTGTGTACTGGAGGCCCATGGACAAGACACAGCTAACCCCATGTGTAAATAAGGGGGTCCAATATATAGAAATAAATTCGAAAACTCATGTCCGTACACGAACTGAACTGAGTGACTAGACCTTTATAGTATCAATATATGACCCAATATGGGGGTTTTGTGGTTTGCAGTTAGTCCATGGATAACTAACTCAGATGATGCTTTAGCCTTGCGAAGACGTGTGTTCTGTTTCCAACCGGATCTACATATGTTATGGAAGTGTATGTCATGGTACCCTTTGAGAAATCCTTTTCATATCTAGCTTCCATGTAAGTCTGACATCGTAAGAGTGCTTACACATTCTTTGAATGCTAAGAAAGTTACAAGGAGTTTGTGTCACGCCACATAGACAAACCACCTGCCATACATGTTTTGCAAGTAGAGCGAGTTGCTCTAGCAATGAATCAATGTGATGTTTGATACACTTAACTATAATACTGTTACTACACCTATTTTTTCCTTCACATACGTTCATATCACCCTTCGAAGCCTTTCATATGTTTTGAAGATATTATAAGTCAATGATTTTCTAGCTTGTTTGACGATCGATTTGACAATATTTATTCAAGTTTCATGTTTATTATGGGGAAATGAGACTTGTTTCATATCATATTTGTCTAATGTAATGTTATTTCTCCAATTCACTTTTATAGATAAGCTTACTTCGAAATGTATGCAAAAAATGGATTGGATTATCTCTATTATTTTAACTGAAATTAATACTTTTTTCATACAGAATAGTATAATTTTATTTCCTTGACACGATCATGCAATCTGACTCTACAAAGAGTCTCAACATGTTTTCAATTTTCTCTTAATGAATTTGGTCAATTTTCCTACTCATAACTGATTAAGCTTTTGCATTAAAAGTGGCATTTGCCACTTCTCCCACCTTTTCGTTAATTGTGGCATCCAAAATTTCTGAAAAATGGCATTTGTGTCATTATATTGAAAATTTCTGTAATAGTCTTGAAACTATAAGAGATTGAGATTATTTCACGGGAAAATCAAGGAGGGTTGTCTCTCCGTTGTGGCTAACTTAAAGCTATCGATATCTAACTAGAAGTTAGAAGAGTCCATGAACAGCGCTTTGAGAAGGAATGAGTCCGAGGTATATGAGGATATTAGACTTCAACTAAATAGTGCCAATTTCCAAAATCCTGAAACGTGAACTGTATAACTACTCAAAACCTCGGTCAAAGATGAGTGACATCACCTGTTTTCAATACTAGAATTGGAGAGAAATTCGGTTTCATAACCAAAATATTATAGTATTAGAGTTTTAGAAATCTTTCATTACTTATTTTGAGTTTTTTTAACTTCACACTCGATACTTTGAGCTGTTATAAGCATCCTGGTGCCTCGTCATTTTTTTGAATATAATGTTATATCCAGCATAAACGCCTACTTATAGACTACGTATGGCATATTAAAAAATTTTAGAAGATGGAAAACATGACACAGGTTTGTCCAAATGCTGCGTAATATTCCTCATCACGGAGCCGAACAAGTACATCGTACCTTGGACTAAACGAGCGGCGGCAATATCTTGTGATTCTCATACTGCCCCAGAAAGACCAGAACTCTTTATTCATTTGGCGCTGGGTGCTCTAATCTGAATTTACTGTCCACACATCTCTGCCCCTCCTCGGTGGTTTTGGGTTGAATAGGTTAGACGGTGGTTAGCCCACCCAACCGCTCCGCCTCGTTAGTGCTTCTTCGGTTGAAAATGTCAGCACGAATTCAGCTGATGAAGGACCGACTGAAGAAAATAGCTCGCTGCTCCAGGCGAGGTTTGAAACTTTGGAGGTTGCCTCTGGAGCAGGTCTAAGAGAGTGTAAACGGTGCGTACTAGGGAAGGAGACCAGAAGAGCCAGGTGATGATGAGGGTAGGCTGCGATGCGGGAACGGAATGAGCAGCTTCGTACTCACATGCAACCATCAGCGACGTATTCTGCAGTTTTCAAAGACGGGTGCATTTGCGAGGTTGGCTAAGTTTGGACCTTGTCAACATCACAGGAGGCGTTCAATTCGACGTGAATTGCAGAAAGGCGGATCCTAGTGCTATGATCGAGAGAGCCTCGGGTCTAGTCAAAAAGTCGAGATAGATGTTCCTTCCGGATGAGTATGGGTAGACTTTCTTAGAACGTGCACCATACTCTCCAACTATGAGAATCACTTCCAGAAGCAGGATTTTGGACTGCTGTCAGTCTTACTTACTTTCTTAATTAATTGGTCCATTTTCCCACTGCCTCTCGCATCAAAAGTTGGGGCCTTCGCAGAAAGACCGAAGTCCCCCTTCCAGTTTCCCAATGCTTGTAGAAACCTCACAGAATGTAACTTTGTGAAGCACTTCGGAAATCCACAAAGCCCATTCTCCAGGGGCTGAACTTCTTTTATTGCTGAGCAGTAAGAGAGCTGGCAGTATGAGTACAACACAGCATGGTATATTCACCCTATTACCAGCAGGAAAGTGGCTATTATTTGATTCCCTATGCTCTCTCATGAATGTACAACACCTCTAGCTTTTCTTGCCGGAAGAAATCAACGGACTTCAACATGTTCTCATTGGAGCCTCTGAAGGTCTTGACTATTGCCTCTTAATATGAAGTCGCTCATAATCCTTCAATATCATGAATAGCTCTTGCTCTCGCCTTGAGTATTTACTTACAACTCAGCCTACTATTGTGCATATGAGTCCCATGAGTCCCAAGTATGTGCCTGTAGTAAATGGCCGAAAGAGAAGCGAATTTAAGGGGCAGGTGAAACTAAAAATATTATTAAATGGAATAATTCTATTTACAAAAACGGCAAACTTGTGAATTATATCCTCCACACTAAGAACTATTAACCCGTATCCATCAGGAGCACAGCACGGTCACGGTTACGATCAACCGGAGCACGGACCCCGGACCCCGAACGAACTTCGACAGCCGAGGAGGGTACGAAGTCCAAACGACCAGAAGAAACGATGATCACTGGATGCACAGAACCCGCTTGTAACTCCCAGACCCGTATGTGCCAGCCAACTGGACGTCCAATGTGGCACCAGCAACCCTCTCTTCCCGTTTCAGAAGTCATGACGACAGAGGACGATTTGAACTCTGTCCTGCACGTTTCAGATCCAGATTTCAGAGTATTGAGTTCTGAAGGAGGAGTGATTTGCCGCCTTCCTCTCTGCCAAGATTTGTGTTGTACTGGATAGGATGCTTACTGAGTCTCGACTTCCTCCCGCTACCTGACTAATCTGACTCACCAGTGCCAGCTCCCTCCCGTGATCGAGTTAATCTAATTCTGGTAAAGCAGGGGGACAGGACGGGACAATTTTGCCCACGATCTGATGGTTCGATTTACAAAGTTGTCAGTGGAGTCGTTTACGTACTGCAGATTGTGTGATATATTTCCAGCATGTACCTCTATACTCAGAGTGAGTAAGAACGCTTCATTTCAATTCCCGTCACCAGTGCCGTGAAACTCGAGAATCACAGTACAGCATTGCCTTTCTTCAGTAAAGTTTGTAAGCATCCGAGTTTATTATTAGTTTCGCCAGAGTCAGAAGGATTGTGATTCGCTGCATTGCCATACGTAGCTCACGAGTGCTAACCTCCATAGTTGGTGGCTTACATCTATCTTATTCCCGTCAAGAGAAGGCATTGCCCTCTTTATTTGTAGCCAGCTGCAGTATAAGCAATCCACGATGTGGTTCTTGAGCATATCCATTCATAAAACTCTTGTAGCTGGACAATCCGGACCCAGATCTAAAACGTACAATCCAACTCAAGATTATTAAACTGCCAGCAAGCTGGGTGAGAGCCTCCTGTGAAGCTGTTGTATGATGGCAGTCATTAGAAGCTCTGGTTGTGGAAACATTTCGTGCTAGAATAGAAACCCAATGGTCCTCTCGCACAGTTGATAATGTTATCTACACGGAGCTTAATTTCTAAACGGATTGCTCTACGTATCACGTTCTATATCATCGGAAGAATGCTAAGGTTTTTCAAATCCCATACATTCATACCGTGGCCAAACATTTGTCGGAAGACAACGGTACACAGTGCAATGTGCAGAAGATAGCTAAATAGTCGAGGGCAAGATGTTTTACGCAATGCCAGTCAGACTATGAGAAGTTTTAGCAAAATTATGATCCAGGCAGGACTTGAACCCGCAACTCAGTGGACCTTCGAGGCGGTTCCGGGCAACGAGGTTTGATCCTCGCCCCTGGCCTCTCCAGCCCGATCGTGAGTTTGTCAAACTACTGGACCTAACATGACAATGTTTGTCAACTGCCAAGCTTTGAACACATAGGCACTGTGCGTAACTGGTAGGGTCAGAACACAGCGTCTCTGATGTGCAGCAGAAATTACTTAATCGATCTGAAGGTAAATGGAAGTAAGAACGTAGAGAGAATATGAGAATCGAATGCTTCGACGCCATCTACTGAAACCATTGATATCTCTTGCTACAATGCTCTGTAGAGGAAGGATCATCGATGACGAATCCATAATCGGTTGCTAATGCCAACCCTATAACTTTTTTGACTCCAAACTCCAGGAAACCTGATTCGAAGCTACAACTCCTGTGATCTTTTCATTATGAGTCACCTTCGATATTATTACACTCTCTCATCAAAAGGGATGGAAACATGTTAAGTAACTGTGTGTATTCCCGAACGTCCATGCCAAGGTGTTCTATTTTTTGAAATCAACGCAATGCTATATCTTTCTCAATATCATAATGTTCAGGACATGCATTCATCAAAGCTCTTTGTAAAGGACCGCATACGCAGAATTGTACAATGAAGTTAGAACAACATTATACATGTTGCACAATATGATAGACTGTCCTACATTATATCTTTCATTAAGTTATAATAGGTGTGAACAAAGCTAAAAATAAGAAGAAGAAGAAATCTCAACATTTAAACATACTCAAAGGCGTGGGATGTTGCAGCTCCATTTTTGGTACAACTACAGTCACTCATGTAACAATAGAACATTGCACATCTTCCATGGCAATTAGTTCGGTCAAATAATACAACTCGATGGATATCACAGCCATTTAAATTCCCAAATAAATCAGCATATGATTATCACGTCTCCGAGTAACCAGCATTTCAGGAGAAAATCGCAACGTGGCGTACAAGATGAGAGGAAAATAATCGGCCAGAGACTCAAAAGGAGAGGGCAGAGAGCATTATAGCGACTAGAGACTTTACAGCAACAAAAGTCATCGCTGTGCTTACCACTCCGAGCTCAGTGCATATTGGAGCCTGACGTGTCACAGATCCAAGTGTAGCAGCTTAACGAATCCCCTGAGTGAGCAGCACCGAGAAGAAATGACATGGCTTTGACCTGGACAGGCCAGCGCTACCGTAGGGCGATCTCCTAGAAGAAGTGCCGATATTGACGGGGACGAAGCGAGTGCCGCTGACGACGTGGCAAACGGGGTGGCCTTTGGCTGCAGAAGCCACGTAGCTTCTTGCAAAGTGGTGGCGATGGCCAGGTCTATTGTGAACTGTTAGGACCAAAGTACCGCTGTAATCATCATTAGATCTGTCTAACTACGGTTTATTTTAAACAGGGGGATGATTAAAGACCGCCGATGGACGGCCCCAAACTCGTCGCTAGAGGATTAGGACCCTCTCTACTTCCGATGCTGCCGCCTTCGTTTTAAAGCAGGATTAGTTCTCGGTTATCCAGTCGGTGGACCTGCTCCCACTCCCTTCCGATACCTGTTGCTACCGGTGCACTTGACCGGGCAAGGAGCAACTCCACCTTCCTCTTTGCTCTTAATAACATTAAAATTCGCAACAAATTCGAGCCTTGCAGACAACGTAACTGGAGTGAAATTCAACGGAGGGTGACATGATTATTCTGAAACACATACATTTATGAATGGACCCTTGGAAAATGTGAAGGGGGAATTTCTTCCAGTCAATGTCATATGTGAAGATACTTGCCTTGGATACACCTCGAAGAGAGTATATGCAATTTAGCGTACGACTCTTTCAACCTCACCCACTAAAGGGCACGATTGACTTTCATCACACTGACGAAAAGACATGTATCGAGGCAAGAATTAGAGCGGCTATAGCCCTCTAAATATTAATCGCCTTAGAATACCATAGAAGCTGAATTTTGCAGGAGAGCAAGAGACATGGTTAGGGTCGAGGTAACAGTAAGAGAGGCGGCACGGGGCATCTAGCCGGTGGGTCAGGGTGGGGGCGTGACTGGACACCGGATGGGAGCGCGAGCAGGAAGTGGGTGGAATGCGGAGCACGACGGAGCGTGCATCACCCGGCGCGTCACTTGTTTTAAGCTCGTCGCGTGCTCTCGTTCATTCAGCACCATCTCGTCTTCTTTCGCACCATCTCGTCTGTGGTCTTCGAGGAATCGGTGCGCGTATTGATCTGCGTTTGTTCTCTCGTTGGGAATTTTTTCACCATGGCCAAGGATCCAGTACGCGTGCTCGTCACCGGTGCCGCAGGTGCAACTTTTCTTCGATTGTTTCTGGTCTTGCTTGATTTGTTCGGTTGTTTCTCCTGGTGTTGAGATCCACGTTACGAGCGTGGTCAGCATGGTCGAGGTTGCTGCGGATAGGTTTTTGGCTGAGTGAGGATAAGTGTTTTTAGTTCCGTCTTGGTTGCTTAGAAGCAACGTCGAAACGAGTATGGAGTACAAGAAATCAATATTCACGTAGATTGAGCTTACTTGGCACAACTCCTAGATTGGATCTCGAACGGGATGCCTCATGACGAGTTTTTGTTCGCTTTTCTGTTTCTTTTATTATCTCTCCCCCCCGGCAGCCCGAAATTCAGCCTTCTGAATTCTCCACCTGGTCCTAAGGTCTGGTCAGGCCTAACCTTTTTCGGACTTTTTGCAGGGCAAATTGGATATGCCTTGGTGCCCATGATTGCCAGGGGAATTATGTTGGGGGCCGATCAGCCCGTAATTCTTCACATGTTGGACATTCCCCCAGCTGCCGAGGCTTTGAATGGCGTAAAGATGGAACTCATTGACGCTGCCTTCCCCCTTCTCAAAGGTAGAGTTTGGTTTACGTTCCGCAGCGCTTCCTCCAGTGAAGACTAGACATTAGAGTGCTTTGTATTCTGCTATGTACGTGTCTTGTATCTGGTTGCTTTCTATAAGGATTTGATTTTACTCTCTTATTTTCTAAGAATGCTCAGTAGTATTTTATATGTGACTTTGTGATCCATTTTTTCTGGGACAATTTCCTCATTCAATTACTTCCATGTCGAGAAACAAGTTCCTGACATTAGAGCTTATGAACTGGTTACAGGTATTGTGGCAACTACTGACGTCGCCGAGGCATGTAAGGATGTCAACATTGCCGTCATGGTTGGAGGTTTCCCCCGAAAGGAGGGTATGGAACGTAAGGACGTCATGTCCAAAAATGTTTCTATCTACAAAGCACAGGCTTCAGCTTTGGAAGCAAACGCTGCTAAGGACGTAAAGGTTGGTTATTTTTTACCTAGCAATCAGCTCAATAACAGAATTATTGCTACGGCAAGATTCTTGGGCCATTGTAATTTGGCGCAAACCTTTTCATTTTTTTTCCAGTGTAATCCTACAAGGTTTGATCCCTTTTCTAGACTTTTGCAGATGGCAGAGAGGATTTCTTTTAATTTAAAATCAGCCCTTGAATATGTTTTTTTGTTTTGTTTTCTTCAATTTTGTGACTTAATTTTTTTTTCTGTATCTCCAATGACCAGGTTTTGGTGGTAGCAAACCCTGCCAACACCAACGCCTTGATTTTGAAGGAGTTCGCCCCTTCGATTCCAGAAAAGAACATCAGTTGCCTGACAAGGCTGGACCATAACAGGGCTCTCGGTCAAATTGCAGAGCGCCTTGATATTCCGGTTTCTTCTGTCAAGAATGTTATCATCTGGGGAAACCACTCGTCTTCGCAGTACCCTGATGTATACCACGCCGTCATCGATGGTGACAAGCCAGTGCGTGAGGCTGTTGCTGATGATGCTTGGTATGCTTCCTCTTCGCTCTTTCTCTTCGGTTTAGTTCTTTTGGCTGACAACTTCTAGAAATTTCTCACTTGCTTCGTGTAGCAGGAATATCGTGATTTTTCTCCTTTCATTTAATTGTTCTTCCTCTTCTAAAGGTGCAGTTCTTAGTTGTCTTGGTAGAGTCAGATCTTCGCTGAGCTTCTCTTTCCTTTTGCTAACAGAAGCTTGGTGAGCTTGAGTTAGGACAGAGTTGCACCCGAAGTAGTTTGGTGGTTAGTCTGGTCTTGACGTTTACTATGAGCTTCATTTAATGGCGGGAAGCATTGGCATCTGATCCTCTTCTTGCTAGACTCTGTACAGGTAGTTATGACAGTGTGGGACCATCTTATGTTAATCAGGCTAGATGGAGAATTTATCAAGACTGTTCAACAAAGAGGAGCAGCAATTATCAAAGCTCGCAAGCTTTCAAGCGCACTGTCTGCTGCAAGTTCCGCTTGTGACCACATTCGTGATTGGGTGCTTGGTACTCCTGAGGTATAACTTCTGGTTTTGTGTGCTCTTCAAGTTAATAATTACATGCTCGTCTTTCCTGATCCTTAATTGCATAGGAAGTATATGAGCTTAACGGTAGGCACTTGTTAACGTCTGCAGGGTACCTGGGTGTCCATGGGAGTGTACTCCGACGGATCATACAATGTTCCAGCTGGTCTTATTTACTCTTTCCCTGTCACCTGCTCGAAGGGAGTATGGTCCATAGTTCAAGGTGAGCTATTGATGATAATATCCGTCTACCTTTAGTCACAAACACTTTGAGGAGTTTAGATTGCTTGTATACTACTAAACGTGTGCGTATTTACTTTAGTAGTTTAAGTCTGTACAATTTGTGGAAATAGGTTCTAGTGTACGTATCAAAGGCTAACTACAGATGGATTATTTCGAGGATTTTTATTTAGAGGCTTTTGTTGTGTTCCTAGCTTAGCTTGTGGTGGTAGAGCTTGCTGGAAGAATTTGCCCTGCAACTAGTTATTATCCATTAGTGTACATGCGTTGCCAGTGCTTCGAATCTTTTCAAATATCAATGTTTGTTTTTCCGCAGATCTGCCAATCAATGAGTTTTCAAGGAAGAAGCTTGATGCCACCGCAGAGGAGCTGGTGGAGGAGAAGCAGTTGGCTTACACTTGCATCAACGAGTAGTCGGTTAATATTCCTGTAAAAAAGAGTTCAGGCTTTACGTTTTGTCCCCCTTTGGGGGCTCAACAAGTTTATGTTGCAACCTCAACATGAACATATTTTTTGTATCTAATAATTTATCATACAAAATTACATCTTGCTTTGCAAGCTCGGATTATTCATCATATCTCCCAAGGTGCATAGGTGCATCTCGTTATCTACTACGGGTTATTATTCTCGCCACAAGTTTTGCTACTTGTTCTTCCATTTATGTCATTGGCACCTCTCTTCTTGGATGATTTGTTGTTTTGATTGTAGCTATGTGTTGTCTGACAATTCATACGCAAGTTCCAGGACAGAGCCTGTACTTGAAAGTTTGATCATAGTAGTTTGGGTTGTCAAGGAAAGATTTGCTTGTGGTAGAGGTGGCTCAACTCGCGGCGTCCAGGTATTGCACGGTAGAGCTGTGCGAACACTATCTGCAAGTCAGAAAGAGCTCTTCTCCGGAAGATATTTCGAATCTCTGTCAGGAGGTGACTCAGAAGGTCAAACGACATGAAAGGAGTATACGTGTTTGAATGTCTTCATTGGCTTTGTGAGAACTTCACGAAGAAGGATTTAGTTGGAATGTTTGTTGAGTTTATGAAGGTTCCAAGTGGGAACATGTGGATACTACTGTTAGGAGCTATTCTGCGCTAAGTTTGCGTGCCATAAACTTTGCGCAGAGTGTGTTCATGAACTTGGTTTGAGTATCTCACATGCATTTGCTGTACATTGGAATTTGTTTCCTTGACATTGCAGTTGTAGTTGGAATTTGGCTTACTCTAACGCGCTAGGCATGCCATGGTGCTATGTGGTGCTTCCTCACCATATTCATAATTGACTTTCCCTCACCTACTTTGGTAACTTGATGGTTAATGAGTAAGTTAATGCTGTGGTAAGTGCCTCTGGAATATTTTCTTCCTATAATGTCAGTATTGAAATAAACGCTTATATACAAATATGTGATTTGTCCATGAAGGGTTATAACTACTTCCAAAATAGGGTGTTCGATCAATCAGAGACTAGTTTATAGTAGGGTGAATCAATCAGAGACTAGCTTATAGTAGGGTGAAGGCTAATTAGCCTCAATGGAGGAATAACTAGCTACTCCCCAATTTAATCTCCCTACACACGTTGTATTATTGAGGATATTTTGTTGCTTGACTTCCCGGTGCATTACCCCCTTCATTCTTTGCTCCGTGAATTTATATATCATCTTTCCTCCACGTTCATAAATATGCGCCAATCACTCAGTCATCCGTTATCCTTCGATTTTTATCGATTTCGCTCTTTATCTCTTGCATCTCCTTCACACATCTACCCATCCCATATCTTATCCTTTCCCTCCAATCATGTCGCATCACTCTTCTTCTTTCATTAATATACCACCTATAGAATTTCATCATGATTTTCTCGAATACCTCATGTTTCATTCCTTAGGATTTGCATTCATGTCCCTGATAATGACGAGTCCATTGGTTATATGCGCTTTTCATTGTTAAGTTGAGTATCTCATATTCAACCTTTGTTCAAATATATCATCATTTAGCTTACGAAAATTTATGTCACAAAATTTTATTTCTACAAAAATAATAAATTTATGGTTAAATGTTGTAGCGGCGAGCGTTGGGCATCTACGTTAAATAATAACCAATGACACAAGTGTATGTGGAACCACCTCTCGACCTCAACATAATTATGCACAATGTCTTTTTATCTTTACATTATAAGCATTACATAACTTATGTATATGGATTATGAAGATGTAACTGGATGTCAATATGTGTTTTCTTATCGAGTTTTGGAAATTGTGATTCTAATTGTCATCAAAGTAGATAACACAAGACAAACTAATTTCATCGTGATTGTAAAAGTATCTTGGTATTCACGTTGATGTTTTTGACACAATTTTTATTTTGAGATGAACAATGAACATAAAATAAATGTAGTTTACATGACGATTATGTTATTTTCGAGTATCACATTCCTAAGTGAAATATCAATACTAAACATGAGAGAAATTTAAAATATTTTATTGTTTTATAAAAAACTTTCTAACAAGTAAGTTCTCACTGATTAATTCCAATTCTAGTGAATGGATAAAAATCATGCGTCGTCATTAATTAGCACATTTATTCTGTAACGAGGGATACAATTTTCATTGTAATTATTATAGATAATTCAACATAAACTACTTCAAATAATTTTATTTCAATAACTAAAATTTCTAATAATCATATGAATTTTATTTTATTTAGTTATAAAAAATTTATTTGAACTCATTTACTCTTTAATGACCAAAACACATAATTATTAATGTGAATATTATAGATAACTCAATTTTATTTAAACTTTATTTTCATATTGAATAATTTAAATTTCATTTCTAATCAACTATAGATTGTTAAAATTGTTTGACATCCTTTTTATATTTTAATAATAACAAGTTGATTTGAACATACGTAATGTACAAGAAATATGATATATATATATATATATTTATTTATATTTATATATATACATATGTCAATTTTATTCTTGCAAAATTTAGCTCACAACTCTATTTCATCTTCAATTATGATTTATTAATAATTTCTCCCAATAATCCATTCAATCCTAGTATAGATATATGTGTGTGTGTTTTTGTAGCACTATATTCAAAATTAAGTCTTACATAAACACAAATGTATATTCATATCGATCTATCAAAATTTTCAATCTTTTCGAACGCTAAAACATACAATTGACCTCTAAATACAATTATTTTTGCACTTTCTAGGATTTTGATTTCAATTTCAAAATAAACTTTATCTATGTATCATAAGTCATGATGATTGATTGATGATGAGATGATTTGAACAATGTTTAAAATTTTGAATTTCCATGATAGTTTTTTAGACAAAAATAGCAAGGCTGGCAAGCGAGGTTATTTTAATTCACGTTTTATTAGGTTTTAGTGTTCATTCAATGTCTTTTGAGTCCACATATATCTGGTTTAATTCGATTTTAATGAGGTGGATCCTACTACTATAATATTTTTATATCGCCAGAGTTGGTATCTACTAGATACAAACGCATTTAATTTGCCGTCTCGCTAGATCCTATCTAGCGAGGGGCTTAGGGTGCTTGAATTCCTTTGCTTGAACTCAGAGTTTTTAGTTTCTTGACTCATAATCATTTCCCTTGAGCTCGTTGTCGTCATACGTCTCGTTCGGCTGCAGAATCTTCAACTGACGACGCAATTGTCAGTGCTGTCATTTGCTTCAAGCTAGTTCATTACTATGGAACTCAAGGTTGCAAATGCAATCACCCTACGTTTGCTTCAAGCCAGTTTATTACTATGGAACTCAAGGTTGCAAATGCAGTCACCCTACGAGCACGGTCTGCATCTTATTCACAAATGATGTCGATCCGCATAATGCCAAAAATGTCAGATGCAAACATTGTATCAACCTCGTCAATCATCACACAAAGAGCGAATCCGCCAAGAAGCACCACAACAAGTGTCTGAAATTCCGCACGTTCAAGAATGGACTAGAAGATGCAGATAGTCGTGACTAGTTCGTCCGCAACAAAAGCAGGTCTATGTAGAGCATGCAAATTTGCCAAATATGAGCCAACAGTAGTATTCAGAGATCAATCAAAGATTACGCGCTTTCGAAGTTGTCTTATGCCAAGAAACAAGAGTTTTGAAAAGTAGATTGCTATGGATTACTTCAACACCGTCACCTCCTTGTAGTGCATCGGAGACGTACATTTGATGGAGGCTATCAAGATGCTTCGTCCGATGATGGATTCTTACCAAGTCGAAAGCAGCTCACAACCTCCCTGCTCGACAAGTGCCACGAAGAACTGAAGGCGAAGGTCGACGATCGCATGAAGGGTTCTTTGACATGCCTCACCATAGACGGATGGTCTAACATAAAAAACGACGCAGTCATTAATTATATGGTTGTCTCTCGCGATTTCTGTTTGTATCTGAAGGCAGTGTTGATGGCCTAGCAAGGACACAATCACGAGTTTACTTTCAATGACGTCGAACGCGTGTTCAAGACTTACGAAAGCACGACGTTTGTAGGCGCGGTGACGGACAACACGAGTGCGAACAAGAAGTCATAGGCAGGGCTACTTGACAAGTTCTCGTCCCGCTTCTTCCATGACTGCACATCACACGAGCTGCACTTGTTTGTGAAGGACATATTCTATGCGACAAAGACCAAGAAAGCGGGCGACGACAGAGCGACAACTTCGGTCTACTATTCGTTCGAAGAGATGTTGCTTTTCATCAACAAGTGCAAAGATATTCTGAAGTTCTATCACAAACATCATGTGGTCAAGGCGCAGCTTGAAGAGATGCAAAAAGCTTCAGGTGCTCAGAGACTCGTTCACCCATGTCCCACGCGCTAGAGCACCATCAAACAGATGTGCAAGATCCTGCTCACTTCTGAATGACATATGCATGTGATCGTCTCTGCAGACGATTTCATGAAGGGAACAGTCGTCCAATTCAAGTAGTACACCAAGGTCAAGGAAACTATTATAGATCCGAGATTTGTCGCACTTTTGAAGAAGGCGATCGAGATATTGGCGTCCCTCGACATACTCATCATCAAATATAAATCCAAAAAGCTTCTCATCTCGGAGGTGATGATAGATTTCCACGCATTGCTTCTTGAGTTTTCAAAGTTGCTCGCCGCTAATATCATCAACGAGGACGAGCTCGCGTATCCGATCAAGACATGCGTCTCGCGATTGATGTTAATGTACGGCAACGCACACGGTTTGGCCTACATGCTCGAACCACAGTTCATTGCGGAGGGAATGTTGAGGCAGATTGTGAAGCGCTGGTAGACATCATCATCCAATTTCCTGCTGATGATGAGATGCGTGAGTCTGTCGACAAAGCGCGAGCGCAAATCATCTTCAAGCAATACACCCAGTTCGTCATCGCTGCGAACAAAGCGAAGGAGTAAAACTACATGCTATCTAAAGACCACAATGACTGTTTTGCAGTATCGGTTGGTCGAGAATAAATATTGGTCCGAGCTCAAAAGTATGGCCATCAAGTTCTTCAGCATGGCGACGTACAGTGGCGCCTCAGTGCGTAACTGGTCGACAATGGGCTTCATGCATTTGAAGTTGAGGAACTCCCTGACCTCGAAGAGCCTCAACAAGCTCACATACATCAAGAGCAACTTGTCAGCCTTCTATGATTATGATGTGTAGGAGGTCATTTACGATTAAGATGTGCAGGAGTATGAATATATAACCGATGATTACGACAGCGAATAGGCAGTATCTATTCGCTGTCGCAATGAAAGTGACAACTGGAAGTTTCTATTAGAGACCTTCACTTTTCACTTTTGATTGATGAAGTCATTTCAGAGAAGTACACGTGTCAATAAAAAGCCCATCAAATATAAGGTTTTATTGTATTAAACCATCAACCCAATTGATTTTGCAAAAATTTACTGGTTTTAGCCAACCTTGTGAATTTGAAATCATAAGATTATTTTTTGTCACAAAATTTTGATGTTAAATATATTTTGTGATATTTCAATTGATCTCATATGTAAATATAAATAAATTTTATTGAGTTGATTATTTGATTCATGAGACCCAATTCAAAATTATGAATAATTTTTTAAATATCAAAATAATATCAAAATATAATAAATTTTGATTATTATTCTATTTTATCAATATTATTCATCAGATGCACTCATGACAATAAAAATATTTACGAACAGTTTAAGAATTATATATTTTTCCAAATAAATAATAATCTAAATTTTATTAATGTTAAAATATTTTTTTCAACCAAAAATACTTAAGGGTAAGAATTTAGTAATATTTAAATAAATAAATTATATTATAGATCTATAAACATGATAATTCAATTAACATAACACATAAAGTCTGTTAAAAATCAACTCAAGTATTGATAGATTTTGGTAGACTAGGCAGCTAGGGGTATAATAAAAAGTTTTTAAAAACTAGCTTTAACTAATTAAAAAAAACATAGGTAGCCTCACTGACTTAAACAACTTATATTTGGTGTCAAGTGAATATTCTAGGTTTTACTTGTTTAACATGATCTTTGATTTGAGACTGTAATTGTCATGAGTATTCATGTTGATATAATGTATGATAAAGTAAAATCTTAGATCAATTTAAAGTTATATATATATCATTAGCAAGATTTCATGTTTCATATATTATAAATTATATTTCTATACATAAATGCATGATATTAGCTGACTCTTAAATTTAGGCAAGCCATAGTTAATTTAAATATCTGTATATTGTGCAGCAATATTTTTTGTGGTATACTATTTATATATATTAGTTTTTTCAAAAGCCATATATGGTGAATAAAAAACTTATCAATGGCCTAAAGATAGAGATCAAAATGATGCATATTTTTTGAAATTAATGTGGTTTGACTTTATCATCACATTGTACATTATAAAATGTTACATAATCATGTGCTTCATAGCACGTGTGTAAAGTATGATAAACTGATTGATGATTATATTGTCATTATACGGAATTTGCTTGTTTCTGTTTATGGTTTTTCTCCCTTTCTTGTTATAGGAACAGACTTGAACTTGATCGATCATCTTTTTTATCATAGCTGCACATTACAAAAGTGCAGCTTGATTGTTTCGTTGTCTACAATAACTAATTTTCTAACTGATGATCTTTTTCTAGATAAGTGTATTAATGATTAAAAATAAAATCTGACATATTTGAAGAGAGTAAAAGAAAAAGACTAGTAGAAGTGCAAAAGAAGTGAAACTAAAAAATTGTAATTGTATAACAAACATGAAAAGTCTTGATTATTAAAAATAGATTTGATCAAAAGTGCCACTTGAATAATGTTCAAAAAAATATTTAGGGTAATAAGAGAGTTATGTGCAAGCCAATTACATTCTCTATATGTTTTATACTTGTAATTTTCTTTGGTAATTATTCTTACGATTTATCGTATTGTGTGGCATGCATGTGTTATATTAGTTTTGAACATTGGTGATGCTAATTCTTAAACCCAAAAAAAACTAAGTATTTTCATACCTTCTCTACAACCATGTAGAGAAGGTATGAAATATCTAACCATCCAACCATGTATTTAAGTATGAAATACATATCTAACCAAATGGTATTTATAAAAACGTTTAGTAGACGTCAACATATAGTCTTGGTGTTTGACATCATTGTCGACTGTCAAATATTGAACAACAGGAGCCACATCCGATTTTTCAAAAATGACCTGGCGAGTCAACTTGATACAAGAATACTCTCGAGTCTACTGTACAGTTCAGTCTGTTCTACTCGAAGCCATTGAAGCTGTCTAATTATGAACTGCAAGTTAGGCCTCGCCCTTGGTGTTAGTTTATTTGACTGTGGACAGCAGATGCCATTATTCTGAACGTCAATCGAGCGACACACAAGGTCTGTGGAAATGGACGGAAAACTACAAAATTCCTCGTCCAAGTCATTAGGAAATCCAAGGATGAAACTATAATGTACTATGATAACCCATATTCCTGGTTTCCCCGTTATCTAATTGAGTCCGATCCTCTGCTGCTACAAGTGCCGATTGAGTGCAATGATGAACATATACGGTTGGTAAAAGTCGATGAAGGAAATGTCCACGGCACGTTCTGGCGCAAGAAGCATGGCGCCACTCGACTCGTGACAGAGGGAAGCGGTGTCTGTCTAAAAGACACAAAGCTCCGGAGGCTCACAAATGTTCGCGAATTTGTTGTGGTTTTTGTTCGCTGGGACTAGATCTGGTCAACGGGCCAACCACTCCACAGCGTTCCACCGCTAACATTCAATCGATTTGCATAGAGTCCCGATTTTCAATGCGTTGTTGTTGCAAGACGGACCCCTCCCCTACTCTCAGGTGCGGATAAAAGATTCGTCATGAGCCAGCACCCACTTGCTGTGTATCGTGTAAAGCGTTGTTTGTTAACTGTGCCGGCTTGTTCATTCTGACCTCAATCGTCAGAGGACTCTCCGGGAGGTTACATCAATTCCTCAGTCCAGGAGAGAGACTGCTGAGAGGCTACTAGATATAGACTGGTGAGAGCAATCGCCTCATATCTAGCGAGCCTTTTCGTTATCTGGCCCCTGTTCTTTCTGCCCCCTGGTTGATGCAAATGGTCCCAGCCTCAGAGGGGACTTCAGACCACTTTTCTGTTCAAACTGGTGCCTCTTGATGAGAGCAACGGACTTCGTGCTGCCATGGACTGCTCTCGTCGCCCATCTACTATAGGCAACGATTACATGATTGTCTTGGGGAGAAGTTTGGAGTGAATGGACCCACACTACGAATCGGGGCGTTACTTATCTCGCGATATTAGTATCCTACCTTCCGAACTGGTATCTTTGCTGCTCGCTCGTTGGTTATCGTGCTCAGTGCTATGTTATCAAGCCCACTTGAAGCCTTCGCTACATACAGAAGAATAATCATAGGATTGAATGGTTCCTTCCCCCGGCGGTGCTCTTGTTTCTTCCTGCTCCCTCCCTTCTGAGCGCCTTCACATTACAGAGAGGAAATGCATTCGAACCACTCCCATACAGTCCGTCTTTATGGGGCGTGTTTTCAGGGTTCCAGGCTGCTAAAAGCCCGCCATAAGTGCAGGGCTCGAGTGTTGCCTTCGGGAAAAGACTATTTATTCAACAGTTGACCCACGGGCGAAAAAATCATAGATTCAGCTTTCACATCTTCTCGCACATGCTTGAGGTGTGGGGCCTGGGACTTAGCAGAACGTGTTATACTTGTCTCTGTGATTCCGAGCATTTCATGCAAAAGTGCCAATAATTCCTCATTGAACTACAGTAATTCATCTGCCAGTCTGACGAAATTTCGAAGGTTTTGTACTCAGTTTAATGTATATTATTTGCTGTCAGTGCGCCGAACACCGTATGAGAAATGGATGATAGAACGTGGTTCCTAGTCTCATGTGTGACTGATTCCATAAACACCTTGACCGAATGAACTGAGCTTGATTTTGTATTCTCTACTGACAGTGTAGGCATTATGAGCGAGACGCTTGCAGAGCCTTAAACAAATGTTCTCGACTTTTGAGAACCTTCGCTAGAGTCGTCGACCGACTTACAGTTAGACTCTACGTAGTAAACTCTCAAGCTCGTGATTAGTCTTTACATGTATTCTCCTCACCACATCAGTTCCCTCGCGTACTAAAACCTGGCCCAACGAACCTGGGAATGCTGAATGCTGTCAGGAAGCCTGCTAGCACGTCCAGGGCATGCAAAGCTTGTTCCGAAGCTCCGGATTCCAGAAGGAGAAGATTCCTTAGCCTTTCCAAACTCCGGGCTTGTTCAAAACGTGTTCGTAATCCTGGGACCTACTTCATATCCCGAACCGCTGGGCACGACGAAGGAGCGAGTTCTGCTTCCGCCGAAGGTACAGCTGCTCTGCTGTAAGAGCTGCACATTTCAGGGATGGATTTGCACATTTCAGGGATGCACCGCTCGTGGAGACATGTGAATCGAAGAGCATACGACCTAAAAAGGTCTCGGGGCTGCTTGGTTCAGCCGAGAACAGTCACGAAGTATTTAAAATGGCCTGAATCACTGAACCTGCGAAGATGTCGCTGGATGGAGAAGCACAGGAGAAGATAAACACCAAGGCCCTGATGAGGGAATATATACTCTCTCCGTCGCGCTTAACTTGTGCCCTCTACATCTTGACTTCATACCTGATTCTCATTCCGCTTCTTTTCCACATGCTGGGCACAAGTGCGAATATGGCCCGCAGCTGACGCATTCTGCCCCCAACAGAACCAAAATGTCGATGCAAAGGTGCACGCCACGGACTTCCGAAGAGGACGATGCACCGGCACGCTGGTGGCGAGGTCTGGGGAGAGGGAAGGAACATTGATTGCTCTTGTAATCACTAAAGTGACTGGAATTTGAGAATACAACCGTGATTCGAATACAAAAAATTCATATGAAAACTGTACACTGGCGAACATCTCGACAATCAATTGATATCAAGAGATGTAGTCTTTGGGTCCCGAGGCGACTCCTATCACAACTTGAGGCTGGTCGCCAATTGTCTCTGCAGCTATGGCGTCTATGCTACGGCCCCAGTGGTATTGAAGGCATCATTATTTGTGTCCCATATCATGAATGTGGCAGACTTGGACACGATTTGATACCGAGCCTTTATAGCTAGCTGACTGACTGGCCAGCTTGAAGAACATGGAGCAGAAGTCTTATCATGGAGCAGAACCTGGTCTGCATGGCGAACCTTGGCAATTCATCGAGTGGGATGATTTTAAAATGCAAAAGTTGGAAAGTGGAAAAGTTACTGATGCGTTTGAGATGTTCACGTGCGGTTTTGGAGGTTGGAAGTATCAATGCGGCCGTGCCGACATTCGAACTTTCGAGAGGTAGCCTGTGAAAATCTATGCCGTTCGACCTAAATAGAGCTGGGAAGTCCGGAAACAAAATATTCGACTTTAACAGCCATGGTGGTAGCTGATCGTTCAGGTGCCTCCAACCTTTCCGAGCTCTTGAACCGTAGCGCATCGATCAATCTGATGCAAACGTCTGGAAAGCTATCGGACTTTCGACGACGAGAGCTCTTGCTCGAGCTTCTCGTTTCGTTACTATACATTTTGGCAAAGCACCAATCTGTGAGCTTAGGTGATGCTCACGAGTCCATTGACCGCGTGCGAAAAAACGCACGCCAAGTTGGACCTTATCATTACCGAATCATTACCAGCCCGAATCGAAAGGTTCACTTGTCAATCGTGGACCTTCGAATCCGCAAGCAGCTCTGAACTTGTTCGAGAAAGCGACTGTAACTTGGAACTGCAATTGTGAGAACAGACGGGCAGAGCCGGTGAGTGTCTCATCTTCGAGAATTTCCCGAAAGCCAGAATCAAATTGTTTAAAGATTTATACAGCTGGAGAGCAAAAAACAGAGCGATATGCAAGGCCATGGACATCCAGTCCACAGAATGCCCCTCGTGTTGATGACTTCTGAATCCGCAAGCGCGGCCAGAATACTCCGCAATAGTTCTACTCATTTCACCCGGGGAACGTGGTCAAATCTTGCACTTTCGAAGGCACAACTTTTCTCGGTGCACCAACCGGGTGAGCCTGAAGATATCTGTAGCCTTAACAGGGTTCCAAGTTCTGGATGATTCTGTTTCTGTGTGAAGTATAAATTTTGTGACCAAAAACTGGTGGACCCGTTCTTCCGGTGCCTCTACGAGAAAACTGGAAACTTTCCGGCGTGATTGAAGAATGCGGCACATTTTTCACGTGAATCTGTCAGATTCCGTGGTCAAGAGTGATCTGGATATGTAGGCGAGCGTTTGACATTGGTTCATAGGTCGCAATTGTGAGCAACAGTGAGGACGACGACGATTCTTAACAACGCTGTGGGCATGAGTGCAATCGACGATGATTCGCATCGCAACCTACCTCGACGGTTTCAACGTCGCCAGAAGCAAAGAAATCCAATCCTTCCCATAAATATGAGGACGGATTGCGTTTCAGAGAGTGAGGAGATGATGACCACATCTGTGAACTGTGCCACTTGCGGCTCGGCCATGTGACCGTCAGCGCAATCACTTCCTCGGAGACCTTCTCAAGCTTTTTAGGCCAAATCCGATTCCAAATTCGACCGCGCTCTTTCCGATGTCTCCGGTGTACAACCAAAGTATCAAGCTGCAATCTTAGACTGCAGTCGGTCCTACGTGAAAGAACGACAACCCGGGGTGGGAAAAAGATGAAATTGTCCGTTTGCACATGAGAAGATATACGAAAAAAAATTATAAGACCGAAGGACTGCGTCGAAAAAACAAAGCTGATGTAAGATTGAGTCTTCTGTCTGAGACCATCAACTCGTCAGATCGGGACAGGGAGAGGGCCACCCACACTCCAGAGATGCTGCAAATAAAGACCTCCTTGGAAACGACCTCCAGCTCATGGAAAGAAGAAGGAACCCGTCTAGAAGCCGAGCCCCTGAACTTGCAGCGAAGCTCACGCTGGCATGGAAACGGACGGACCACGAGAGAGTGGCTGGGTTTCAAGGCAGATAGATCTTTAGCAAAAGCTCGACAGTCGGATCCTTCTCCACCAGTCCGAACCTCCTCGCTCCAAGCTCATCCACGCGCCCTCATAATCACTCCCTCCTGGCTCCCCCCCAGATGACCACGGACGAGGCTTTGCGCCTTTCCGTTCACTTTATCCCCCGCCCCAAGGCTGGCACGCCACATGGCATGCCACCGCGGCTCTGGCCTGGCCTTGGCTTCGCCACATCAGCAAGGATCGGGCACTTCAAGGTAAGGCAGGGCAGGGCAGAGCAGGGCAGGGCAAAGCTAAGGTCTGAGAAACGAGCTACAGACCAAATGTGATCGTGCTTCTTGTAAAGGCTGGGGAAGGGTAAGGGACTTGGGGTAGAGTACGAGGGAGGAAAGCAAGGGAGCGCACTTGGGCGCTCCACAGGTTCGCACCTCCACTTCGCACTGACCGTCTGCGAACGAGAAATCGGCAGGTCCCAACTGGATTTATAATGGTTTCTGAGGGGCTGGACTCTTCGTGCTCCACTGAAGCACCAGGTTTGGCCTGGCCAGATCTCTCTCTCTGTGGGCGAGAGTCGGGGCCAATAATTCAGATCTCGTCGTCCGTGGCCGTCCACCGCGATGGTGGTGGTGGTGGCGGACGGACTCAATTTGGTTCGCTCAATTTATAATTTGCTGCTGATTATTCTCGTCCGAGCGTTGCCTGGCACAGAGGCCCGCAGCCGGCTCGAGGCACGCAAGAAGGTCTTCGAAGGTCAAGTCTCAGGACTTGCCCTCGGGCCCCTCCCTCCCTCCCTCCCTTCAGTCCGCCATGTCTAATCTGATCTCGCATTTTCCGATTGTCCGAGGTCTTTTACTTAAAACGCACGAGTGAGGTCTTTTACTTAAAACGGTACGAGTGTGCCTGCACACGGGCCGGTCATCAGGTCCATGCGCCTCCGGAAACACAACTATCAGGTGAGGACGCTCACCCAACCATTCCCGAGCCGAGAGAAGGGTGTAACTCACGCATCGTAATGCATGTACAAGCCTCGAGGACTCTACAATCGTGCTCCACTATGAGCTTCGAACTATACTCCTCGAAACAATTCCGGCACAAAAGGCCTCGAGGCGAATTTCTAGTACTCACCGAATTTGGGCCTAATGTCAACGCACCAGATCAACTCTCCAGATTTTCGGGCTGTGAAGTATAACGGAGCCCGAGTTGTTTACTTGAAATAATAAATTTCATAAATTTCATCTTAAACAGCTCCGAAAACTGCTCAGACGGACACCGTATCCCTCCATTCTGATAATGTCTGGAGGACTGAAGTGTAAATTTAGCTGGCCACGTCTTCGAGAAGGTGTCCGTCTATAACTTCTAGTTATAGATGGAGAAGCAGTGGAGAATGGACAGTTTAGGACCCGGATCGACAAACTGTAGCTACTTACAAAGTGAAGTACCTGTCCACGCCCCGAGCCAGGAACCCAGAGGAAGACAAGCTATTCCTTCTTACAAATCTCGGAACTACACACGCTGTCCAGAAATGCGAAAATCAGATTTCCAGATTGCATGGAAGAATGTGCCGGTCCGGAAACGGTGAGCACATCTGGGGCTTCCAAATCGAGTTTTAGATCTGCGAAGACGCTCGCCAATGCTTGGCCGGTGGAGATGGTAGATGCTTGCCTGCTTGCATACTTGCTTACAGAAAGACGGCGGTACTGAACTGGCAGGCACTGCACTAAGAGTCGCTCGCGCGGGTTGACTGCTTACAGTCACGTTCGCTGAATTCGCTGCCGCTATCTTTTGGAAAATTCTCTGTAGGATTTGAGAGAATGTCAAACCTTATCTATCCAGTTCCAGACCGGAGCAGAGCAGAGCAGAGCCTGTTGGGGGTGTTGGCACTTCTCTCACAATTCGAGGGCTAGAACGCGAGAATTTCGGATCATGCACCGGGTCATCGGCTTCTCCACTTATCTCACCCCTCCGGATCCTCTCCTTAAACTAAACTTTGGCACTGGATGTGACTTCTGTAGAAGGGTTGAAGCTTTCAGCTCGTCCACATTCGGATCGAACTTCTTTCCCGAAGGTCGATTCGGTTATCGTCTGCTGTGGAGGACCTCAATGATTTTTGCTTTGACCGGAGTAACAGAGAATGATTGCAAGGTTTTGAATGCGAGCAGCGGAAGCAGATAATTCCTGACCCATGCGAGCATGATCTGCAGTCCGGAGGCGTGGTAAAGTGTGGAAACAGAATTGCAACCATGCGAACGTTTCACCGAGGCTCTCGGTGCGGAGACGTCTGGCACCAGGTCACAAGATTCCAACGATCCCTCGACTGTTGCATGAATTCCACAGGCCAAGGATCTTCCCAACTATGAAAGAGCTTGAATCAATCCGCGCGCTTCGCTGAGAGGGTGGGTGACGAGATGAGACAGGTCTCCGGGCACCAGATTTTTCGAGTTTTCAAACCCCCAAATTCTCTTCTGCGGGCACCACGAAACCAGGGCCCGATTCAGGACATAAATTTCCGCCATGTTTAGTTCTGCAGGCAGCTTCTCGGCAGGACGTCGTCAACTGAACAGATGGAGCATTCCTTCTGAGAATTCGAATCCTAATGCTCGGGCAAATATCGGCACTGCCTGTGGGCCTTAGCGCCGCCCTGCTTCCCGCCAGTCTATCCCGTCGACACAACGACGGCGTGGGCGACGGCGACGGTCTGGCAGGCCCCACGCATGTACGGCCGTCGTGGTGCGCTGCCAGGCGCGGAGGACAAAGGAACGGTATTACGAGTGTCATCCGAGGATTCTCAGCGCTGTTTCCCGGATTTATTTCTGGCGACTGACTGCAGGGCAAATACCCGGTCCACCGGTAGGCGCGGGCACAACGTGCAGGATGTCCGGAAGGATAGAAGCGGCCCCGGAATCCGCTTGACCAGCAGTCGGGAGTCGTTTGTCCAAGTTCTCTCCTTGGGTGCCTGCATACTCAACTGACTCTAGGTCATAATCTGGACCCAGGGTATCATGCAGGTCCGCTCTCGAGCTGTCCCCGACTCCCCGCCCGCAGCCTGCAGCCGTACCCACGTGTCCGAGGTCGAAGACTTGGAGAATCCACATCAGCATTCCCTCATCCACCCTGTAGGTGTGGCTAGAGCTTGACCCAACAAGTAACCGTCGATGCGGCTAAGCGTCTTTGTAATCACCACTCGAGCCAATTTCCACGCAAGTGTTGTCCTTCCGAGAAATGGCTCACTTTCGGCCAGATCGTAAAAGGCGAACAGGAGTTTCACCACATGCATCGGAGTAATTCGGAGCCATGTAGAAGCTGGTCCCTCTGTCCACAGGGTTTTCCACGTCGCATCGCGCTCGAGAGCTAAATTGCTAAATTGCTAAATTGCTGCTAAATTGCTTGGCCTCCATGCATGGTCCCAATATCAGATTATCCATTTATTCTTCAACCCGTGTTCTGAGATTGTCCGTAATACTGTCGAGAGTGGAGATTTGGATGCATTTGAATAATCATTAATTCGTGAAAGAAAGAAAATTAATGAAAGGTAAAACGTTAGAGGGATCAAAGTTTTCTAAATTGTTTGTAAGAAGTTAATATTGAAGAGGACAGATTTGGGAGTTACGCAGAGCACGGATCTATTTCATTTCCATCATGCTTAACGAGTGTATTCTAGAAGATTATATTTTGACGATATGATCTAGATTATATTGTACGAGAAAATGACTTATCAATATAAATTCGTGGATTTATCTGCAAACTTTGCATCAACAGTCAAAAGCTGGTATAAACTCTTAAGGTGTTATCGAAGGATCACTGTGATAATCTGACCATTACATTTGTTTTGTTCATGAGAGAAATTGTACTTCAGTTTACACTTTAAACCTCTATCCTCATTCATTTATCCTTATTCTTGCAAATAGTTATGTATATACTGAAGTGCAAGGAGATCTATTCATATACTCATAAAGTTCACGCGGAATTTGAAATGGATATGGTGAGGTCCAAACATTCATTGAAGATTCTAGCGAACGCTAAACGTCAAAAGGTCGCACCCTCAACTGTGTTATGTTATCCTTCAAAAGCATGAATGTGCTGGTGAGTGAGCAAGTGGGATCTTAATCTGTATTAGACAATATTCTTTTAACCTTCACGAGTGCTTAGTATGAGACGTGTAACTTCTACCTACTGTGATGAAGTTGGCTTGTAAATTAACTGCCCGAGAAGGATCAAAACATGAAAACATGATCATGGACTAATGTTCAGGACAAACGCTTGTGAGAAGCTACGGACACAAAGAGGTTTTCAGATTACAATTCCTACCAGACAATACTACCTACTTGTTCATTGAGCAGTCTGCTGCTCTATATTTTTACAAAATGACAGGTTTGTAAGACGTCGTTGACGAAAGGGGAAATGGGGAAATGGGTATTCCGATAGTTGAACATCCAAGAGTCATCCTCCTGACAGGACAAATCAACTACTGCTATTTCTGGACAATGCCGACATGTAAGAGATCAGAGTTCACTGTTGAGTTACCTTCAACTCAAAGGACGTTAAGTAAGAGAAGCTCCACTAGGACACTACACGTCATAGTCATTAGATGTCCCGTAGGGCATGCCAGATAGTCTCCACATCGGAGGCATTTCCAGTTGGCAGACACGGAGCGTGTAGTGATCTCAAGTTTGTGTGAGTTACACTCGGGGTTACTATTTCCCGCAACTAGTCGTGGACCCTCGTCTGGCCTACCTAGTACGGTAATACTGTTGTTCCGCAGTATATAGGGGTCGGAAAATGTTCTTTCAAGTTTAACCCTCGCAAATTATACCATGTTGCAATGTGCATTCATGAATATGAGAAAATGTGTAAGAGCATTTCATATAGGGGCGAGGGTTATGACAGTGCTTGGTTTATTGTATAGCAATATTTTCGTCAGTATGTTTCTAGTTGGAAGAGATTAATGACATCATGTGATACTTATAACTATGTCCACACAAGGTTTGAGATAGTTACACATCCACAGAAAGATATTATGTACTTCTCGTCGTTATGATATTAGATCATATACTTTCATTTAACCACAGATGGATAGCGTCCTTCCACGATTGTCGTATCCGAGTTTATGTAACAAGTTATCTGAATCATGTAACTTGATTCAAGTAAATGTGAATTAAGTGTACTTTTGTTAAGGAATGGGTGTCACAGTCATGAATTGTAAATACATGTACCATATATGGCCACAACTTTCACAGTCCTTAACTGCTCTATACATGTGCAAACATAGACTTCAGATTATTTACACGGTACACGTTTCGCACGTAAACCCTCCGGAACCAATTTGTGATCGCATAGTTTCCTGCTCTTCACATCTGAGTCATTCTAATGCAACCTTACACACAACCATACGTTGACTACGGTACCACAAACATACCCTCCAAAGTCTCCATCCTACTTATCCTAAATGTCTTTAACTGCCAAGAGTAAATTCTTTCAGCAGAACTTGGTTCATGACATTGTGACTTCGTGTGATGACTACTGCACAAGTCACCCTTTTCAGCTCCACACTGACCTGTTGAATATTGTGAACATTCTATTTATTTGACCTGTTGGAAGAAGACCAGAAGATCATGGTCGATTTGACCAGATCATTCACGAGGTGACCAGGTATTTGGGTTCAGCGACGTAAATAGAGCACATCATCATTCTTGCTGCTTTCCAACTCCATAGTCGCACCAGATAAGCAGGCCGATCGAAGCAGAATTAATAACTCAACTCAATCAGTCGGAAAAGAAGAAGCCCCCCAGCTGCTGCTGCAACCGGTAGAAACAAAAGCGACAGCGAGGAGACTGTCCCAAACTTCTTGGAAATGCGGCAACATGGTAAATGTGGCCTCTAATATTGTGAACGTTTCGCCGAAGCGCTGGAGCTGCGCGGGTCTGAGACTCGGACCCGGGCTTCAGGTCGGGCCTGCCGCCCCGTGCTGCGCACAAAAGCTGGCTGGCTGCTGGACCCGCAGATGCTGCAGATGCTGCTGCTGCTGCTGCAGCTGCTCAGGCTGTTGTGTTGTTGGCCTCTCTACGCTGCCGCTTGTAACTTGTTTGCGCTCACGCGAACCCTGCAGAGAGTGGATTGGGAGCTCATCCGGGTTTGGCGTAGCTGGAGCTGACGATAATGCTAATGACATGAGACCGAGATCAAGCAAGGGATTAATTAATTGTAATTCCGGGCTCGGTCTACGTCACTCGTGCTATATATACAATCTCTTAGGACGCTCACGGTACTCACATCCCGTCCCATCCCATCCCACCGCGCATCGGATCGCATCGCATCGCGACCCTTTCTTGTGCTGGGAAGAGTGGCCGTCCTCTCGCTTCGGTCTGTCTGTCTCTGTCTGTCTGTCTGGGCTCGTTGAGGTAGAATTGAGTTGATCTTTGGGACCTGGAAGTGTCAGGTGCAAACTATTCGAATCCGTAGACTCACAAATTTGGCGGAGAGCAGTTTGTAGTTGGAATTGGCGACTCGAGGAGTTATCGCGCGGTTGATTGACAGGGGTCACTGCGCAACAGCCAAATTGAATTGTCGCGTCCCTTAGAGGCATAGATTGAGAACTTCTCAACAGAGGTATAATCTTCCAGGCGACCGCTTGATTGTTCACTCGCTTCTGTGCTTCAAATGAGATTGCTTAAAGGCGAACGCTGCTTTGAATCCAGAGAATGAGAAACGATAATTCTCTGAATTCTTCGTCTGTGTGGGTGTGTCTGTGTTCGACTCAAACGCACATACAGAAACAGCGATAAGCAAAACTTGACGATCAATGCCCGCCCGCTCGTCTAAGCTTGACCCCGTCGGTGGTTCTCTGCGCTTTGCGCTGCAGGAGGACTCAACCTTCTAGCTGGCTCATAATCAGAATCGCTGCCTAGTCAAGAAGACGACACCGGTAGGGACCTTGGATCAGCGGAGCACGCAGCCTGCACAAGTGAGTCAGCCAATTCGTCGACAGAACATTCGAACCGAGCGAGTTTGTGGATGAGCCAGTGCTTCCGAACTTGCGTTTGAGGATTCTTGCGAAGTGTGCGCATTGTGGTGAAAGGTGTTTTAGTGTGAAAGTGTGTAGGGGTCTGGCAGTGAGCGCTGGCTGCGGATCGCTTGCCTGCTCGCGTGAGACTGAGAGTGAGAGCGAGAGCAAGCGCAGGCACGTGGTGCACCACCACCGTAGCAGCCATCCGAGATGAGGTTCAGCTTGAAGCATCCAGGAATGAACGGGAAATTTCAGTTCGCGGCGCGGATGCTAAAGAGCCGATGGTTTGTGGTAGTTGCAGCGATTTGGATCCAATGCTGCAGTGGATCATCTTATAACTTTGGTATTTATTCACAGAGTATCAAAGTCGCGCTCGGCTACGATCAGATGCATTTGGACACCCTGGCCTCCTTCAAGGACATCGGTTCCAATGTAGGCGTCATGTCAGGACTGGTGTTCGACCAAATTCCTCCATGGGGCGTTCTGATCATCGGAGCTCTGCAGTCTGGGTTTGGATATTTGATGATGTGGCTTTCGGTGACCGGCAGAATCTCGCCCCCGGCCCTCTGGCAGATGTGTCTCTACATGTTCCTCTCGGCCAATGGCCAGACTTATTTCAACACAGCCACGGTCGTAACATGCGTGCAGAATTTCCCCCGCAGCCGTGGTATTATCATCGGATTGATGAAGGTACTGCTCACCCTTGCCTTCAGCCTCGAGTCCTCTTCCAATTTCAGCAGGGGATCGTCATAGTTCGCGTCTCTGATCAACCGAGTGATTGGTTTTCGAAGGATGAATCATGAATCAAAGAATCCCTCTAATTATTGACCTTGCGAAATGTGCCTGCAGGGATTCTTGGGCCTGAGTGGGGCAATCTTGACACAGGTCTACCATGCGATATACGCAGACGAGCCTTCTTCTTTCCTTTTCATGTTAATGTGGCTGCCTTCGGCGATGTCGCTCCTCTGGATGTTCGTCATTCGCCCCGTGTCCTCACCCAAGCGAGGCAACGAGAATCGGAACCTCTATCTGATATCGGCCATCGCGTTGGTTTTGGCAGCGTACCTGATGACGCTGATTATCATCGAGAATACAGTGACATTGAGTCATGTGGTCAGCTTGATCACTTGCTCTATCTGTGCTCTGGTTCTACTGGCTCCTCTCGGAGTGGTGTACAAATCAGAAAGCGAAGATGCGAAAGCGCAAGCTGCGTCTTCCAACTCCTCCCCATATTCTTCCTCCTCCAGCTTGCCACCTTCCCTGACACCTTCCCTGACGCAGCCACTTCTCAGAGGTGAATCCTCGTCGAGGCTTCCGGTCTCGGTCCAGGTGGTGGTGAACCCTCCGGAGCCACAATCCGAGAGAACAGGACCCAAGGTTGTGTATTCGGAATCCGAGGGAGACATGAGCATTCCAGAATCCATCGTGGAGAATCCAGCCGAAAGAGTCAAGCCCCACAGGGGAGAGGATCACACATTCACCGAGGCAGTAGCCAAGGCAGACTTCTGGCTTCTATTCGTTGCCATGGCCTGCGGAATGGGCTCGGGGCTCACAGCCATCGACAACATGGGCCAAATCGGCGCTTCCCTGGGCTACTCAACCCAGAAAGTAGGAACATTCATCTCTCTCTTGAGCATCTGGAACTTCCTGGGGCGGCTGGGATTCGGAACCGTCTCCGAAGTCTGCCTGCACCGCTACAGAATTGCCAGGCCAGTGTTCCTGGCTTTGACCCAAGCAACCATGTCTGTCGGCCACCTGATGATCGCCACAGCGTTCCCGGGGTCCCTGTACGTGGGGTCCGTGGTGATCGGCCTGTGTTACGGCGCACAGTGGTCGCTCATGCCGGCAATCACATCGGAAATTTTCGGGCTCATGAGGTTCGGAACTCTGTACAATACAATCACAATTGCCAGTCCTCTGGGCGCGTACTACCTCTCGGTGCAGGTTGCAGGCCACATTTATGACTACGAGGCCAGGCAGGAGAGGATCACAGCTCCGGCTGTAAATACTGTAGGACTAGGATTTCTGAGGTGGTTCAAGTCGGGAGAGCTCCTGTGCCACGGACCCCATTGCTTCCGCCTGACGTTCATCATCATGGCCGCTGTGAGCTTTTTCGGCTGTCTGGTTTGTTTGATCCTCGTGGCTCGGACGAGGAAGTTCTACGCCCGAGTTGTTTATGCGCGCCTGGAGAGTCAAAGGATCGAGAAGCAAGAGCAGGAGCGCGGTCTGCAGGCGGCTTGAACCGAACCATGCACCAATCTCGCACAGGCCTCCACGATCGACGACAACCATGGGAGCACAACAATGCGCTCTGACCACCGGGGTTTAGACTTTTTGTAGCTGTAGATATATCCATATTCTTTCAATCAACATGCTGCATTCAGCTTCAAGAGCTGTTCTTGACACTAGGGAACCTGTAAATTAGTGTATAGTACAGAATTCAGAAATCTTAAACGGCAAAACTTATAAAGCCTTTAAAAATTTCAACAAGCAAACCGATATTTTCCGCAACTTGTGTCGAGTCTTCCTCTCTCTTCCTCTTATTCTCGCTTCATCCGATTGACGATGCCGCTCACCAATTCAGATTGCTCGATCCTTTGTCTGACATTTTGGCCTTTCCACGACATGCGAATTTTTGTTTTAAATTGGCAATAAGAGCAAATGAATTTGATCGATTGCGTGCAGAGCTATTAGCCTGTCACCGAGGAGCGAAAGATTCAGGACTGCTGGTGAACTGCAGTGGGGTTCATTTTTTTACCTCTTCTCTTGCAATTTTTATTTGCTTATCGAGAACTTGGTCCTGATTCGTCCACGGCGGCTTCCGGGCCGAGACCTATTGCTAATCGATTGAATCGTTGTATTTGGCAGGGCCGGGCATTCAAACGTGTTCCACTTGCAGTTCCGTGTCCAGGTAAGCACTCAAATTTGACAGTTTACGACATGCAAGGCTGGAAGGAAACTTTTATTCCACCCCAACGATAAATCTCCTGACACGGGACTGAATCCGGTAAATTTACTGACGAGAGACGACAAAGGGACATCTCTCCAAGTTGCAGACAATGAGGTGGAACTCCATCTGGGGTTGCTGTAAAGACTTATCCTCATGAGGTGGATTTCTTTCTATCGTTGCAATCCTCATGTGGCCTTTGAATCAGCCTCAGCTGCAATAGCTTCAATCCATTCTTCCTCTCCAAAGTTGTCGACCTCGCAGAAGCCGGTGGTCCCAGCCATGGCTTCCTTCGCGCCCCCTGACTCCTCCGAAGACGCATCACGGCCGACCCGTGCTCGTCATCAGAGATCGGGTCTCTGGCATCTACCTTATCTGCCTACTTCGAGGGCCTCCTTCACGCTCGCGCTCATACCTCTGCTCATCCACATCGTTTCACCTCCTTCAAGGCCGTGGTGCTGAGTCCCTGGTCACCTCAGCTGCGCAATGCGGTCGTCTGACCTTGCCCGAAGAAACTATGCACCGGATAAAACCTACTACGAAGAGTCGACGGAATGAAGACTTGATAACATCACGGACTCGAGAGAGGAGGCAGAATTGACTTCTCGACCATGGTCTCGGTTTCAGACGACGATGTGTGCGTCGATTTCTCGCCGCCAGTTTGACATCATGTAAGTAAGTATACGGCGCAACAGGGAACTCTTTGACGCATCTCGCAAGATACGGGGAGTCTACAAGTGTCAGCTCCTTTTAGCTCCTGGACGAAAGCCGATCGCTTTTCCACGGAGGCCTTCTTTATACCACCATGAGAGACGAGGTCGAGTAAAAGGTTCCACCGTAAAAATCGCACAGCTATCAGCCACCCAGTTTTTCGTTCTTTTATTGGTGGGACACGCTGCTTTGCGGCCGTTTGGCCCTCGACATATCTCGCCACCTGTTTGTTCACCACAGGATTCGGAGCCAGTGATCTGGTTTAGATACAAGTGTACCCTTTCTCTTGCTGGGTCCCAGGCACCAGGCCTGGTCATTTTTTGGAGATTTCCCTCTTCGCTGACCCGTCCGCCATGGCTCGGGGTTCAGCAGTTCATGGCCCAATTCTGGTATTCTACTTATATTTGTCGGCGGGGAATGCCCCTGTATCCGGATTTCCCGCAGGAAATTGCATCGGGCTTCGGGCGGTTCATCATCTTCATAACTCCGGCCACTGATACTGGACCTGTAACTCGATAGGACAGAAGTGGAAATGACCCAGACGTCATTTATTCAAGGAAAGTCCCATGATATACAGAATTCCGGTTCTTTGAAAAATCCTCATGAGATTGCTGAGCTGTATTTAGCATCGTCCTGACGTGTGGAGTGCTGGTAAGCAGTTCCAGCCCAGAAAACAGAGCGTATTTGCACAGAGCTCTCCCTCGAATGGAAACGTGTCTTTCCTATACTTTCATGAGTGCAGCCCGCTTGCTCAGAGGTCAATGTCGGAAGTTGCATGGAGTGGAAACGGTGTTCCAACTTCCCAGACAAAATTTTATTCGACATACTTTTGGAAGCTTCACTGGAGACAGACCATCGGGTAACGAATTGTGAACATCCAGTTCTGGTTAGAATGCTCAACGTCCAATCTTCACAGAGCATATGCACACATCTGCACGGGACTGGCTGATCCAATCAACTTTCCTCCGAGAAGAAGATAGGGAGACCCAGAGAGGATCTTTCGTCTCAATTACTCTTCGATTGGATAAGTAGGAGTGTTTAGTAACGACGAGACCAGTTTATGTTACATGCGCAATGCTACCTCAAAAATCCACCTGAACCTCACATTCGTCCTTTGGCTCTTCGATACCTCAAGGCCAAATGTGTTACATTGACATTTTGTATGGTTTTGTCGGGAGTGGTGGACTTTGGAGGCGTCCCAACGAGAAAGGCAGTGGCTGGTCGGTGATCTTGTAAACGAGGCTTTTAGTGCAAAGCCTTCTCTGCATTCAAAAGCCTGTGATATATATTATCAGTGAGCGGCAGAAAGACAAACATCAATCGTGTGCCCAATCAGAACAACAGCTTATTTTCACAAGCGGTCGATAAATGCAAGAGCTCGGGAGTACTTGGATTTTTGCACTTAATTGTTCTTAAAGTGCTCTGGACCTACCATGGACAGTTATAGCGTGAGCAATTCCATATGTTTACAACCTTTCTAACTGCTAATGCACTCAACCGGATTACTTCCGTTAGCAGATTGTTGATCAATTCAAGTTTTACAGGTAACTGAAAATGCAACTGCATTTGCAAAGAAAAAACCATCCCATATAACATCAATGAAACATACTGTATCACGCAAGTAATTGATTTGGAGCCAGATTTTCTCTTATAGACCACTACGACTGATTCCTCTTTTAAAAGAATCATCTGAAGTAACTATGATCTTTTGAATCTTTAAATGTTCAAAAAAGTGATGGGTCTAAGTAACTTTAAAACTCAAAACATGTGGTGGGTCTTACTTCCAATCTCCTATGGTTGGCCCATCTAATCTATCAAAGAAATCATAGGCTTGGACTCACAGAAGGTGAAGCATTAGAAGGATGTCTTCATTTTAAAAGATATATGTATTATTTAAAGTAGAGGATCACAGTTAAATCTTATATGTGGTCTGTATTCAGTGAAACTCAAACCAAATATGTTTGTGTCAGAGCTATTCACACTCCACTCAGTCTTTATGTCTGACGCATTCAAGGTCAACCTGAAAGGAGGACATTTTGACCAAGGGTAGAGATTTAGTGGGGTTTTCACCATGATAGTAAAACAAATAACACCGTGTACATCTTCCACAAGTGAATATTGTCCATTATCTGATCTGCATAACTCGGCATGACCCTCCCGTACGATCTGAATGCTGCCTAAGATCACTAGAAATACTCGTAGAGGACCATGACACAAGAAAGAGGACCATAGCAGAAGCCAAAAGAAGTGAAGAACGGACTATATTAAACCAAACTAGTGTAATTATAAGAAGAAATATAAAGAACAAAATATTCACTTAACCCTTTATGAGCTATCCACATCTAAAGATCCTCAACTCGATGACGTTGATGTTGTAGCACCAGCATGAGTCTCATCCTAAGATGATAAGTCATGGCCAACCATGTTGCAAGAGATCTACTTGTGCTCTTGGTGCATGAACTTCAAGCTCCTTGATTCTCTGGCACAACTGAGAGGGGAGCAAAGTGGATAGCACAACTGATGGAAAAGATCCCATCAAGACTTGCAAAGGGGACAAAAAAAACAACCAGGTGCACGAATCCAATAGTATCACCATGAAAAATATGATCTACTATATCCAAACTATATGAACAAATTATCTATAAACAAATAAGAGTTTGATGTTGCATCATCTCATGTGATTGCTTTGCTTTAATATGATTTATGTACTTTGTAGAGCAATGAAAACCTGTCAGTCTAAAATAATCTACTCAATTTTTAAATTTTCTAGAAAGGAAATTCTCATATAGACTAAGTATAATAGGCTCTTTCACAAACATATCGATTCTACATCCATAACTAATCCCACATTGTCCTTTACTTATAGACAATTGTGAGTATGCCACACTCTGCCATCCATATTAATTATTCAAATATCATCTCCTTGGAAAATTCTCACATGTATGATGGATAATAATTATGTTGAAATTAAACATGATAATTATCTACAATCTACTATAATATCTACTGATTTGAGAGTATCTATATTTTGATCCTCTCAATCAAATATAGATTGAGAGGATCTAATGTTAGTAGATCACTACTAACATTCTGTTGACAGCGAAGCAAATCAACATTCTCTTCATGTAACAGAAAAATCATCTTTGGACGCCATTGCAAAGAACTCATTTCTAATGGGGACCTGACTATCTGTCATGTGCCTCAATGACAACTGCAGGCTAAATTTAAAGTTGATCATACTCATACCTGAACAATGAAAACCTACACGAAGAATTGAAGCCCAACCAAATCTCAGTCTGAAAACATGTTGTAGCCAAAATATAAAACTTGAATATTTTTCAAGAGCATGATTATAAGTGAAACAATATGGTAAAAAGCATTCTCAAAGTTACTAAGAATGAATGTAGAGCCTGCTAAATCAAGTAAGTCGTTTGTAAACCTTTAATTTAATGTATGGATAAGATGAAGATGAGGCCAAAGTCTCTTTCGATAATTTTATCATAAAAAAAAACGAGATAGACTAGAACATTAGCACAATAAAAGAACATAAGCTCAATTACAAATCAAAAGCTATTATTGAAAATCTCCAATCTTATACCAATTTTAAAATTAATTGAATTTTCTTATAAAACCATCTCTCCGACTCAACTTTTGATGTCTCATGCATAAAGATTTCAAATTAGATGAACTACATATTATAATAAATTAGTTGCTTTTCAAAGCTATGTGTGCTAATAAGAATGACAGGTTGTAATAACCCACTAAAGGCTAAAACTGCAATATAGTGGTAGAAAGGTAGAACCCACAAGGACAGAGGAACACACAGGGTACAAAGTGTGACGTTTAACAG